TTTTATTATTTTTGCAAATTTGCAGGAAATATTAGTTTTTAAGAGTTATAGCTGTTGTTTTTTTTCGTTTTATTTAGTATTTGTAACAATGATATAGAAATATCGAGTTTTAAAAAAAAAGGATTAATTAAGTAATAATAACAAGCATCATTAAGAATACTCCGCAATTTATTAATAGAAGAAATAAGTAAATGCATAGCCTTTAGCTAGTTTCTTCTTAATAAGGAATCACATGGAATTATTAAAGAGGATTCACTGTATTACTAGTCAATGCAAAAAAACCACTCTTTTTTTGTCGTTGCTCGGTAAAATTGTCAATAAAGTAAATTTTAAAAAAAAACGATAAATTATAGCGAATTCCAACAAATCCAATAAAGAAAACCTTACACTTAGAGCATCAAATAATAGATAAATTCATTGTCCAACTAATAATTAATCTTTCTGCCGCAAGGCCGAGAATTATATGGGGGCAATTAGGTTGCCATTTTAGTGCGCAGCAACAAAAAACCCAGTTGATTTTATTCAACGAGTTTATTTCAACAAATTGGCTTCGTTGAATTTTTGATTCTAATGTCTTTCACATGAAGCATAAATTTAAAATAAGTTTTTGGCAAACTAGAAAACTATTCGCAAACGCAACGACCGATAAGGGGGGCTGTTATTTGAGACGAATTCCTGCTAGCAAAACAACAGGATCATCAGTTGTACTGGAGATTTCTTCAGTGTAGCATGGTAATGTTTCTTCTTTATTGTGGCTTATTAATTTTTTTTTAAAAAATGCATGATATTCTTTCCTATGTAAGTGAAAACAAAATGGAATATCTTATTTTTCGAGCAGGAACATCCAAAACACATAGGAAAATATTTGTTAAAAATCTTGTGATTAGATTTAAAACCTAGTACCAGACAAGTCGTTCTACTAAATATAATGATCCAGTGTGAAAGTTCTATTTAAATTTTACATTCCATACTTTTTTCTGTATCGTAGTACTTCAAACATTAAAATCATGCAAAAAGTTTATAGAAGCACATAACGTTATACCATTTAATTTTGAAAAAGAAAAAGTTTCTTGACACCAACTTTTAGCAAAAAATTTAAAGTCTCAATAAAAAAATTCTTTATTTATAAACTAAAAAACTCAAAATAAAGAATGCTTACGATAAAAAAAATGATTCTAAAAATTCCTCATATTGAAATAATAAAAAAATTCATATTGTTTCTTTTTCCTAGTCTTAAAGTTCTTAATCAGACGTAGAAAACCATTCTGTAGAGAACTATCATCTAATTAGAAAAAAAAATTTCACGAGTAAATTTTTTACTATGAAAATCATAGCACTTATTTAAAAAATAATTACATCACTTTCATATCAATATGCGTCATTATAGCATTAAAAAAAACTCTGATCAAACACGCCATCATTATGCCATCTGTAGCAGTCATGGAATGACAGGCAAGATATACAAATAGGCCAAGCTGGTTGAAACACTTTGAACGGGGTTTAATGGAAAGATTAAGAAGTACTGGAACTTATCACAGACAGTAAAAAAAAACGAGAAATCGAAGAGATGATGAAGAAATTGATATTTTACTTCTTTCATTTTTTTTTTTTTTTCTTTCGATCGCCAAGAAAGCAGAAGAAGTTCCTGATAGCAATTAAATATCTCAAAGAATACTTAGAAAGTATGAATGGCAACCGGTTAATATTCATGGACAACAGGCACTTCAACCAAATGACTACCAGAGAAGACAGGATTACTGTAACTGGTGTCTAATTCAACTTGAAGAAAATCGAAAGTTCAGAAAGAAAGAAAATCCAATCAGTTGTCTGAACTGACGAATGTAAGTTTTCTCTAGACGGTCCAATATCGCATCACATTGAACACTACTGGAGTGATTTGTTGTTGCTGTTGCCGTAGGCCATTACGGCACTGGGGGTGCGATTGTTCTTGTTCACCAGTGGCATCATCTATGGCCTGGAATTCGACTTCTGTCACACCCATGCGTCACCATATAGGGTGGACCCATTCCTACATCCCTTCATTCATACATTCATTCATACATCCATTCATTCATTCATCCATTCATTCATCCACAGATTGCAATTTTGATCTGAACCAGAAAACGATCAATTTCCAATCCAGTACCCCCAGAGGTATTATTTGTTATGGGAACATGGAAGGCTTCGTGACCCGACAGATTTAACGTGCACCAGCCTCAATTTACTACACGGAGAGTCTTATGCCAGCTGTATTCAAACTCCAGCTCTCACAAAAGTGAGTCCAGCTCCGTACCAACCAGGCTATCCCGGCCCACTGGAGTGATTTAAACCATTTTTATGTAAAGGATGTTCGCAATTAACAAAAGTTTTCCATAAATGTGTGATGTGGAATTTATGGGAACCAGATTTTGGGCCCAATATGGAAACACATAACAGACACATTAACAAGTATGTGTTACTTAAATTAAATTCGTACTTCTAGAGATGAATTTATGGAACACATTCCACTATATAAATTCAAGACCGTATGGTTCCAGTTAGATGGTGCTCCTCCCCATAAATCCTTATGAATGAAGGAATCCATAAATGCAATTTTTGGTAATAGGTGAACTGGGCCTAGACTGCCTTTTTCGTGGCCATCGAGATCTCCAGATATCAGTCCTTTAGATTTCTGTTTATGGGAACATTTGAAATCCGTTTTCTATGTAAAAACACCTAACGATGTGAGAAAAGTCCCCTACCTAAGAATGAATGTGACGATGTGAGAAAAGTCCTATAGATGCATGCAATAGCATATATTCTGAGATATATGCATGATATATCCATGCACTGCAATGATGTATGGATGCAACAGCATATATCCTGAGAAAATAGCACGTGTTAACCACTCAACTTCACTTTTGGAGTAGCCAGTAGGTACATTGAACAAATTTTGTGAAAGGTTTGGTTTATTTTTTAATGAATATCGAAAGTATGGAAAGAACAATTAATGTAACAAAGGAATTATATGTACATTTTCTAGATTAAAATTTCTTTTAATTATATGATGTATAGAAATAATTTTTAATCTCTGTAACATTAATTGTAAAAATAGCTAAATAATAATTTTACTTTATACTGATGTATTTTTGTCTCAGTTTTACTTACTGAGTTATATTTCGAATATGAGATGAAATATGTCGTTAAAAGGGGAATTTCTTGATGAAAATAGTAGAAAATTTTAGTTAAACATTCCAAAGAAAAAATTGAATTGTGAATCAAAATTGTTGTTATTCCTTTTACATTTGTGAGAAATAGCAAACTGTTAACCTTTAACTTCTATATGAACTTTGTTAATATGATTAAATATTAATTTTAACTACTTCATATCTATCAATATATTGCACTTGTTCATTTCAAAATTTAAATTGATTTAGATAATTTTAAGCAAAAAGGAATGAATTATACAATGCAATCCATTTATAAGTAGTTCTCATTTTAAAAAAATATTGTTCTTTAATTCAGTTTCATTTTTTACATTTGTTTGCAAATTTAGCTCTAAATATTTTATTTATCTAATGATAGGATTGAAATATTCATCCGAACATATCAAGGTATCTTTAATTTCTGCAAATTCATTCAAAATAAGTTTGCAGCCACCGTCATGTAAGTGAGAAAAGTCCTTGTTGCGTTTTCTAAAACGTAACAAAATACTGATAAGGTTCCTGAAACAGACAATTTCCTTCTTCTATTTCTTTCCTCAAAAGTAGCATTTTCATGGAAATGAAAAAAGGATTTTTTTTCACTTTTTTTTACTAGTTTAAGAGCACGTAAAAATCAATTTTTTAATTTAAGGTTTGTGCATTAAAACAAATTGTAAGAAATTAACTTTACTAAAAACACGTCATGTGATCAAAACTATGATATGATGAGAACTAACTTTAATTTGAAACATTTCTTCAATTTAAACAATGCTTCTATAACCCTTAGATCGAGAGATATTTTTACGTATATATATATATATATATATATATAAAAAAAAAAAAAACACTCTACACAAATTTTTTCATAAAAAGTAAACTAAAAAATATTATTAATTAATAAACAACTTGAAAGCTATTATCTATAATTTTAACTGAAAAGAAACCCTTTCTTTATTACCTNATATATATATATATATATATATATATACAAAGAGAGAGAGAGGGGAATTACAGAGAAACAAAGAGGGAAAAATAAATAATAATAAAAATCCGGGGGAAAAAATGAGAAGAAAAAATATAAAAATCTGGAAAATAAAAGATATAATCTTTATATCAGCTCACACGATTATATCCTTTTTACGGATATAATCGTGTGAGCTGAGAAAATTTTTCATTTTCCTGATTTTATTAGCTTTTTTTTCCATTTTTTCGGAATTTTTTTCCGGATTTTTATTATTATTTTTCGCTTTTTTTTATTGTTCTGTAATTTTTCCTTGTTTTCTCTATATTTTGAACTTTATTTATGAGTTCTGTTTACTTGCAGCTTATGCGCAGTCAATAAAACTTAATGTTTTTCTTAATTTTCTTCATTTTTTTTCCTTTTCTTTTTGTCCTTTTTGTATTCATCTATTATGCTATAGATAGATAGATAGATATGTATGTAGGTAGATAGATAGATGCTTATTTATTACCATATACTTAATCGAAAAAATAAAATATTTTCTGTAAGAAGGTGTGTACAGGTCGTCCTAAAAAAACATCCTATACGTATTTTCTGAAAAAAAAATATGCTGATGTCAGACTTCAAATTTTATTCATCAGACTATTAATGTGTGACATGCAGAAAATATTTCTCCGTGCTTTATTTCATCCGGGAAAAAAATAATTCTCCACCATTTATTAAATCTTTTTCCCTCAAAATATAATGTTGATTTCTTTAGATTAGACTTATTATTCTCTATTTCCTGTAAAATTTCCATACATTATTCATATTATTCCGTTTCCACTCTGTTGCTTTCGGTTTCTGATTCTTTCCTATTCGCCAGTTCTGTCTGTAGCGTTCAGTCTTAGCTCTCACCAGTGATCAATTCGGTTAATTTTCTTATATTTCTCCCTATTCTGATGCCTGCCAATGTTGATTCGTTTGTAGCATTAAAACAGCTGTGCGTCTTTAAACTAATTGAATTAGGGTCATACATGTTACTTTTTCTATTACAGTGGTAAGTTTCTTTCCCATGTACAGTGCGCAAAATAAAAAAAACTGGCCACCCTGAATAAATTTAATCTTATGATTGGATCTTTTCGTTCCAGGACTCAATATTAATTTTTCGAGGGTGTGACTTAAAATATCCTAATTAATTAGTGCAAACGATATGATAAATTTTATTCTTCGAGTTAATTATTTTCAAAATAAAGTTGTGTTTTATTCGATAATATGTTGACAATTGTCTTTTTATATTTTGCATATAAAGTCAAGGTTCCGGATTAATGTCAAAAAATTAATGATAAAATATTGAAGAAATTTTTTTCTTCTATTTAATTATTTTCAAAATAAATTTCTGTTTTATTCGATAATAGGTTTACAATTGTCTTATTATTATTATTAAGTATTTTAGTATTAATTATTTAGTATTATTATTAAGTATTTTAGTACTAATTATTTAGTATTATTATTAAGTATTTTACTATTAAATATTTTAGTTATTAAGTTGAGGTTCTGGATTAAAGTTGGGAGATTAATGATAAAGCAGTTGAAAAATTTTATTCTTCTAATTAATTGCTTTCAAAATAAATTTCTGTTTTATTCGATAATAGGTTGACAATTGTCTTTATATATTTTATTTATTAAATTAAGGTTCTGGGTTAAAGTCGGGAGATTAATGATAAAGCAGTTGAAAAATTTTATTATTCTAATTAATTGCTTTCAAAATAAATTTCTGTTTTATTCAATAATAGATTGATAATTGTCTTAATATATTTTATTTATTAAGTTGGGGTTCTGGATTAAAAGCGGGAGATTATTGATAAAACAGTTGAAAAAAAATTTTCTTCCAAATAATTATTTTCAAAATAAAGTTATGTTCATTTAATAATACTTTGACAATTGTCTGTATATATTTTGTTTATAAAGTCGAGTTTCCAGATGAATCTCGGGAGATTAATAATAAAACGCTGAAGAAATTTTATTTTTCTAGTTTATCATTTTCAAAATAAAGTACATTTTTATCTGTTCATAATAAAACAAGCTCAACGGGAAAAAGTATGAAATTTTAAAACATTAAAACATGAAAGAAAATATTTTTTCCTTCTACTAAAATAAGATTTTTAAATCAAAAAGAATTATGACGTAATTTAAAACGGTTATTTAAAGAAATATTCTTGGAATATATTAAAATTAGAATACTTAAGAGGAACAAAAAGCGAAAGAAAAATGTTAAGTGCTTTCATTATGATAAAATATCTCTTCTTTAAGAAATTAATCTAGAAAGTATTATGGTAAAAGCACCTTCTTTTGTTCCACTGTCTCTGTTTAACACTTTTTTCTCAGCTGAAAATAAATTTCTCGAATTTCACTTTTTTAAATATTACGCTGAGTGTAACTTATTCGTATGAAGTTTTTTAACGAGGTAGTGTATTAGTGCTTCCTCGTTAGAACTAACAGTTTATGACATTGCATTTAAGTTCTTTTTTTAAGCAAATAAAGATATTTACAATAAGAGTTATTTTTTGAAGTAAAAGGAAGGAAAAAGAGTCAAGTAATACTTCCTGGACTACTTATTTTTAAAAAAATGTAATAAATTAAAAGAGGGTAATTAAAAGAGAAAAATGAATATAACCAGATAAGAGAAAATTTTTAACTCCGTCAGAATTAAATTATGAACCTAATAAATTGAAATATAAAAAATGAAATGTATTAAAACTCCTTGAAAAAAAAGTTAATTTCCTCTTACGGTATCTCTATTAAAATCAAAATTTTATTTTCTTTCTATTATCCAGAAAACTGATTAAAGTATTTTAAAAGACAATTTTAAAAAAACGTCAATAGCGAAAATCTTATAATTATTTATCATGTATGAGAAGGGGGTAAAAAGTCTCGATGTCTTTTTACATACTTCCTGTAAACTAAAATTGGACGCTTACAACCTTGCACTTTTAAATACAATTACAACCTTTTACTTGCGATTCTGAACGGTCTTTAAAACATTTCAATTAAGGTTCAATACCTGCAAATAAATGTGCTGCCATCTGTTTATTGGATCTGAAACTAATCTAATGGAATCAATTATGTACCGTACTAAGCTAACTACAATCTACAGAACACTTAACCTATTCTTAAAGGGCCGGGATAGCCTGGTCGGTAGGGCGCTGGGCCCATATCCAAGAGGTCGTGGGTTCGATCCTCGCCGGCCGAAGACTCCCCGTGTAGTAAATGGTGACTGATGCACGTTAAATCTGTCGAGTCTCAAAGTCCTCCATGTTCCCACAACAAATCAATACCTCTGGGGGTACTGATCCAGGAGTTTCCTTGTCTTCTGGATTGGTTCAAAATTACAAGGCTACGGAGTTGAACGTAAGTAGTCGTAAACCCATGAAATTGGGTCGGCTGTTCAACGACGGTTATAAAATAAAATAAAACCTATTCTTAAAAATATCAAACTAATAAGTCATTATTTAACGAATTTCTTTAACCCTTTCAATACGGCGAAAAATCAGTCCAAATGCGCCTTATTGCCGGGATCAGTTATTTCTCCTCCAAGCGATTATTAGATAAAATAACTTTTATGCCTAAAACGTTGAAGGTCTTGGAGACGCATAAACGACCCCATAACTGCGAACCTTCAATAACAATGATTTCACAAGCTTCATTGATGGGACAGCATATGTCCCTCCGTAACCCCAAAGCATCTAAACCCCGGGACAGGGTATGTCCCGGCCGGAATTCTAGAATCAATAACTCATTTTTATTGACATGGAACCTAATATTTTGATGATTATTTTAGGCAACGTTTTTTAATTAACCTTTTCATGTACATTTGCGTTAACATTTTTATTAACTTATTTATTTATAAGCACTTTTCGAAATTAACAGTTATAAAATAAGAAAGGTAAAAAATTGAAAGTAGTGGAGGAACAACAGTATCTGAAGTCTGGGTTTCTTGGGGGCGTGGTAGGGCGGTAAACAGTTCTTGCACAGTGCTACGTTGCAAGAGGTGCACACTATTTTCGAGTGTGCCTCTTTATTCATATTTGCGCACCATGCACATCTTCTGCGTGTTTTTCCTTCAAGGGAAATGGTTTCCAACATTGAAAAGTCTCGCTGTTGATGATGATGATGATATAGTTTTGGAGGATGAGGGCCTTTGCTTATTGACTTCTTTGCTCGCATTTCCAAATGTTCTTTCTTTCCATTTCAATACTTTCGTTCGTACGTTGGGCAATGTAAATGAATAAGCTTTTGGGAATGATCTTGAAGAAAGAATCCACTTCGGTGGCTACGCTGCCAATAGAGAAATTTGTTTGACCCTTGATGTAAGTAACTAGTGGCATTCGTGGTGTAAAGTTAGTTGGGTGGGACCTTGAAAATGATGGTAGATTCTGGTTCTGGAGCTCAACTCCATCATCAAACAAATCATTGCGATTGGGTGAAACGACTTCATTTTCAGTCTCCTCTTCGATGTTTTCAGTTTCAGAAGACTCACTAATATAAGCGAGCTGTCTCAACTTGTTATCAGGGTAAATGCTCTTTCGACTCATTTCGATCCTTCATCATGCTCATACTCATATGTGGTGGTTATCTTAGCATCAGCACCGCCAGGAGCTAACCCTCCATCTGAGGAAGGAGCCTTCGAATAAGCCTTCGAATTATTTAGCAATAGTGATGGCTGAAAACCTAATAAATTGAATATTTATTAAAACAAAAATAACAATTAATAAACTACCACTCGAAAACATTTATTCGCTGTCCGGAGCAAGTTGTCGCTTGCTTGATTAGACCTGGAACGATTGACGTGAGAAATTTATGGACTCAGAACGATGAGACGGCCTTAAAATCGATTTGGAGAACAAAGTGGGCGTTATTTTCTATCCTAGATATTTTTCAGTAACTGGGACATATGTTGTCCCAGACGTAATATCAAAAATTTACCTGACTGGGACAGCATATGTCCCATCCGGTGCGAAAGGGTTAAATATTGCCTCGTGCGTAATAAAAAGGCACTTTTAAAAAGAGGAGAACAACAGTATTAACTACATCTATTATTCAATTCTATTATTTGTCATTGAATATACGTTACTTGATTTGAATATTGTCATTAAATATTCGCAACTGCATTTTCCTTTGATAGTGATGTTCATAATAACTTTGCTTCGATTGTTACATTTGAAGATGCGTCAAATGCTAAAAAAATCTTTTTCAATAACTCTTTCACTCTTTCAAATAATGGGTGTTCCGTAAAGACCACACTTTATGCATATTTTTAGAATTCGAATTAAAAATCAAAACTAAAAAGTATGCTCATTGGGGGTTATTTTGTAAGCGAGTAAAAAGTAGAAACACTATCGAAATATGATGAGTCACAGTCGTAAAAAACAAAACAGGTTTAATTGCGATATGAAACAGATAGAGACGATTATTAGAAATACTTAAGTTTGAACTTCGAATTGAACTTGTTTTGATCTTTATTGTTTGCTATAGATGAAGCGGGCCCCAGGTTCGTTTACTGAAAAAAGTTTTCGGACTTCGAGCTAGGACTAATGATACAAAATTTCAAAACATTTTGCAGTACTTTCAATGAAATTTTTGGTCTAGGTAAGGTGTAAAAAGGTGCGTAAAAAATTACATTAATGTGTAAAAATTTAATGTGCTACTTCGATTGAGTGTTTTTGCTTTGTGAGGCTAGATCGAAGCTCGGGCTTGGGCAGTCACGATGTCTACGTAATACTATTGTATTTCTGGGTCGGATGGGCTGATTGAAATTCTTCGGTCTAGGGCAGTGGTCGGCAAACTTATTAGCCAAAGAGCCAAATATGAACATTACAACAATTTTTTAAAGAAATTGGGAGTCAAATCTGCTTGTTTAGTAAACTTTTATTACACTTAATAAGTAGTACACTAAATAAAACTAAATTTCATACTTAATAAATATTTATTAATGCAAACAATGTGCTTGCATCTCCTTGGAAAGTTTGAGTAAGTCAGGTTTGTATGTTGTTGATTTTAATTTTAAGCGTGATTCCAAGTTCTCATCAATAAGACGACTTCTCAGTTTGCTCTTGATAATGTTCATGCTTGAAAAAGATTGTTCGCATATATATGTAGAACCGAAAAGGGAAAAAACAGCAAACGCGAGCTTTTTCAGCTGATCGTAAGAGTCAGAAATACTATTCCAAGCGTTGAAAATGATCATGTCTCCAGGTCATTCAAAGCAGACCACTTGTGCTGTGTACTAAGATCAAATTTTTTCTTCTCCAATATTTCCAATTCAACACAAAGACGTTCGAATTTAGAGGGCCATCTCCTTGTTTTTTAAATCCAGCAATTGTATTTCAAAGCTACCAATGTCAATTTCAAAAGAAGAAAATTTCAACTCGGTTATCGTAGCATTAAGAGGATTTTTGACAAATGCTAAAGTTGCTCTGCCCTTTTTAAATTCCTGAAACCTGCTGAGAAATGCTTCCCTCATATTTAAAATTATTGTTTTAAAATGGTGTTTATCAATAGAGGATTAATTTTCTTGGCGATGCTTCAGCAGGCTCGGAAAGTGAAACAATGTTTCCCTTTCAAAATCCTGAGCAAAAATGGATAATTTGTTTTCGAATGTTATTACTTCGTCTAACATCGAAAAAATTAAGTTTCCTTTCCCTTGTAGTTTACGATTAAGCTGATTTAGATGAGACGTAACGTCTACCATGAAATAAAAGTTTTGGATCCACTGATCGTCTGTTAGTTCTGGATAGTGAACGCCCTTCTCAAGGAGAAATGCTTTAATTTCCGGAAAAAGGGACGCGAAACGTTTTAAAACGTTCCCTCTGGATAACCAACGTACCTTGCTATGAAGCAAAAGATCAGTGCACTCACTCTCCATTTCGAATAAAAAATTCTTTGAATTGGCGATGATTAGGAGCTTTAGCTAAACTGGAGTTGATAATGGTAATCACTAATTCCATAACTTTACAAATTTCATCCGGAAATGTTTGCTTACAGAGCGCTTCTTGGTGAATGATACAATGGTAAACAAGTATCTCTTGATTAATTTTTTCTTTCAAAATAGCAACAAACCCTTTTCTTACACCGGTCATACTTTGGCCCCATCTGTTGAAATCGACACAATTTTATCGAGGGGAATATGATGTATGTGTATTGAGTTACCCACTAAAAACTAAAACCATTAAATAAAAAATAATTTCAAATATATATAATTAAATTCTTTTAAAACATTATCATTGCCAGTTTATTACGCAAAAAGTCATGCTGTTTTGAATTCTATATTATTAATTTTACGTTTTGACTGACCGGAACACGTGACTAGAGTAATATTAACCTGACTCAATTTTACAAATCTGTAAAAAGAATGATGCTACTGCCTAATAGCAGAGCAGCTGCGTACTGGTTAAACCTGATACCTTCACGCGACAGATCGCTTGCTGGCCGAAACCACTCGGCCAGGGAGACCCCATACTATAGTAAGACTGTTTTTTGTCACCATAGAATGACTACTTATTAGGCTTTATTTTTGTTACTAGAGTAAGTCTGTTAATTTGTGATACTTTTTGCGTCGTATAACTTTATTAAGAGAAAGCGCATACTTAACCCTTACTTCAGACATGTTTAAAACGCATCTAACAATTTGTCAGCAATTATTAGTTTTTAATCATTAATTAATATTAATTATTCAATTTTTATTTAATTTATAAAACAATTTAGCATTTATTTATTTATTTATCAAATTATTTCTGGATAACTTTTATCTACACCAGGGTTTTTCGGTTACGAAACCCTTAATAATCAACCACATTTCAGCTGAACTCCTACTTTATGAAGTTCATCAAGGTGATTGTGAATCTATAAAAGATTATTTCTAAATATTTAATTAGGAGTATAAAGACTTCTAACTGTTTTATTATTAATAATCTTAAATTATGTTTCTGTCTGACAGTTGAATTTGCAATGCTTGTGCTATATCCAGTCTAGTTAGGAATTTGTTTTCAGTGTATATACATAAGCTGAAAATGAATGAAATGAAACTTAGAAGAACTGCAATAAAAGTTGAAAATAGTTATTAGGGAAACATATTTCTTCATTAATAATATTGATTTTATTTTGATTTAAAAAATGCAATGAGAAGTACTAATGCAATATTTTATAAATTGTTGTTCTTTTTATAATTTGTACAATTTATTGTTGTTAAAAATAGCATATTTTCTTTGAAAAATGCCATTGCTATTTCTATGGCATTTTACTTGAAATAATTTCATAAAGGCAGACCGAAGAATTAACTAAATTATGAATTATAGCTTGGATTTAAATATAATCTAAGCTTTCAAAACTCATCACTGGTTATAAAAACTAATTATTAGCAGAACCCCTTACACTCTTCCACAGAGCCCTAGGCTTCCGCGGAACGCCACTCGGGAACCGCTAATCTACACACATAAACCTCATACAGTGTTGCATAAAAGTAAGTTACTGAAGGAAGTGGTAAAATGTTAGAAGAAAGGACTTACATGATTTTATTTTATAATACAGCCAAAGATTATGACATAACAAAATCAAAATGAAATTAATAGTTAAATACATTAAACAGTAATTTATGCGTCATAACAAGATTTCGAAACAAAGTAAGTTGGAAAAAAGTACTAATTCTGCACTGTTATTACATCAAGTATACTAAGTATGGACTGCCGTATTGTCTTGTTGGAAGGTCCAGTCTCCGGATGTTATAAGAGAAGCAACAGGCAATAAATTAACTCCCAACATATCCTGAATTGAATTCATTTTAGTTTGTAAAAAAATAGTTAGAGTTGTACAGCCTGCTCCAAAAGTATCCCAAATCATAACGAACCCATCACCAAATTTACGTTTAAAAAACAAGTGTGGCTCAGTCTGTAAATCATACCAAAAATATCGACATTCATCTGGTACATCCAAATTAAATTTCTTTTCAACCGAACAGACCACATCGCTCCAATTCGTACCTTTCTTAAGATGTTGCTTTGCAAATTCTAAACGAGCATCTTTGTGCAATTTAGTGAGCTGAGGTTTTGCCTTAATATTTTTAAATTGAATGTTTGAAGTATTGTTTCAATAATTTCTAACCAAGCCGCTGCTGCATGGTAACTGCATTTCATTTTTATTTTGTGCAGATGACATCTCACGTCTTTCAGATTCGTCTTTCTTGATTCTAGATGAAATTTTTTTGCCTTCCGATACGCTGTTTACTGTTACAGCTTGCAAGATTCCGGACGTAACTATTTACTCTAGCTTTGGACCTTCCTATTTTTTGCAATTTGGGAACCACTCAAGCCCATTTCTTTAAAAGCTAAAGTTCTTCCTCGTTCGACTTCCGATTAAAGGAGCTCCCTTTGGCATTCTAAATTACCAAAATTGTAAATTGTAAATTACGAGTGCAAATTACCAAAATCTGTTTATATACATCTCGGATTTGCTTCTTGTACTAAAGAAAACCGTTTTCTTGGATGTTTTAGGTCTGAAAATTACGTAATCAGTATCGACTTTATACTTTTTTCTGAACTTTTTTCAATGAGTTTTTCGAATATACAAGCACCGTAGTTCACCGACATCCACGCAAGTCCTTGTGTATACGAGCACTGTACTTTGCCGACATCCACCCAAGCCCTTGTGTATGCGAGCACTGTAGTGTGCCGACATCCATGCAAGCCCTTGTGTATACACGAGCACAGTATTTAGCCTGCATTCACGTAATGCCCAGAGTATACGAGCACCGTACTTTGCCGACATCCACGCCAGACTCTGTGTGTATACGAGCTCCGTATTCAGCTGGCGTGGGGACAACGAAACCTTTACATAAGCGGCCCTATTTATGTTCATAAAACTTATTTGGTTTTTAAAATAGGTATATTTACTTTCGCAGAAAACTCAATTCAATGTTAAACCGTAATATCGCTACCATTTAAGTAGGTTGCTGTAATTTTAATAAGTGCTGAACTGAACCATGCGTTTTATTCCTCAAAAGTTGCTGCAGATTTGAACTAAATTATGCTTCAATGCAATCCTCGATTTCTAACGGTAGTGTAATCACGAAAAATCTTTTTCGTCATTTTCATTATTTTTCATTTCAATCTTATTTTTTTCCTTTTTCAGACATTCCAAATTAGTGGATTTAAATATGGAAAAAATAGGAAAAGCACCGTTGTATAGCATCATGAACGGAATCATTTATCCTTCTATGTTCTCTCCAACATGTTTTAGAGAAGCGCTGTACTACAAGGCTCAACCTAATGACACCTTTATTGTTACTTATCCTAAATGTGGCACAACTTGGATGCAGCATATACTCATGTATATTTTCCGCAAGGGCGAAGAACTGAATATCGGAAAAACAGGTAACTTGGACGTGTCGGAATTCATCAAATATTGCCCATTCATCGACATGTATGGATTTGAAGGCATTCAGAAAATGAAGAAACCCGGATGTATTAAAACGCATCTACCCTACAACCATCTCTCATTGTCCCCTGAAGCAAAGTACATATTTGTTGCGCGGAATCCAAAAGATTGCTGTGTATCTTTTTATCATCACGCACAAAATCATCCAGGCTTTGGATACTGGGATGGCAAATTTAATCATTTTTTTGAACTTTTTATGGATGGGGAATTGGAGTACAATGATTATTTTGATCATTTACTCTCTTGGTATCCCCATCGTAATGATTCGAACGTCTTTTATACAACATATGAAGAGATGAAAAAAGACATTAGGGGCGTTGTTGTGTCTGTTTCGAATTTTTTGGGTCAAGAATACTCTGAAGCAATCGAGAAAGACAACTCTGTTCTCAACAATATCATTCTGTTCAGTAGTTATGAATACATGCAGAAACATTATTGCTGGCCAAGCCTTTCCGGCATGAAAGAGTCGAATTCTGAAACTTATTCTGGAGTTAAATACGTAGCTGAGTTCGTCACCAGTTTGGATTTACCTTCTAGGGTTTTAGCAAAAAGCAATGTTAGAAAAGGTGTTGTTGGAGACTGGAAAAACACATTGAGTTGTGAGCAAAGTCAAAGATTGACAGAAAAATTTTTTGAAAAAACAAAAGACACTGACATCAAAAATTGGTTTTCTGAAGCAATTTTGTAAGAAAGAAGTAGTTTTAAAAAAATTAAATAATACTATTCGATAGTTAAAAATAGGAAAAGACAAATCAATGTCATAGTGAATTTTTGAAAATTGTTTCCTAGGCCAGTGATTACCATAAAGTGATCCTCGGAATAGACCACGTCCAAAAGTAATACCTTTTAATTATGCGGGATGTAATAATGTCGTATTTAAAATATCGAAATCAAGAAATACAAGTGGAAGTGACAGAAACAAAATATTCATAAAGCATAAAATTATTTTGTAACCAGTAAGTCAAAAGGGGATTTTGAAAAACTTGTTGACAAATAATCGTTACTCAAATCCAAATTTTGAGTGTCTTTATAACATTGTGTGTCGTGGTGTGTAATTAAACTTATCGAAAAATGAGAAACCATTCAAAAATATATAAAAAAGTTGTCTGAACATTATAAGAACTTGCTATGGAGTCATTGTGAATTCAACAGGTTAAAGAGTGATAAATTGAAATTCAAAATTCGTATATTAAATTACATCGGATTAAAAGACATCGTAATTTGGGAAACCACGTGGAAATGATTAAATAACGCGAAACAGGGAGTTGCACGCTGCAATCTCCCTTCTAAAATTAACTCTACATTGATGATTTTATGTATTATTGATGATGGTATGTTTTTATTGGTGGTGGCAAATAAGTTTCACTTAAAGTGGGAATTTCAGTTAGTTTGAAATATTATTAGTATAGTTCTTATATCTAATAACTTTAAAGGCATATTTATCTGAATATGCCTTTAAATAAACCTGCGTGAATAAACAAGTAAATCTTTTAAGTTATACATTTATTTCTTTTTTGCATTTCTATTACATCTTTTTTATGTGTGTATTTTTGTATGTTTAAGTTCTAAGCTTTCTTAAAACTAAGAATAAAATAAAGAGTTAATCTCTGTGTTTATCTATCTCTTATAACGGCAGAATAATTCGTCCTGAATCATCCTGAAATTCGGATATCGTCTGGAAGGGACTTCAGCCAGCAATCCTAAAATCCATTCGAAATTTTCAAATATTCGCTAACGCAACGATCTATAGGGGGCGTTGTTATTTGATACGTTGTTATTGAGCACAACACGATTATCAATTGAACTTCCGTCAGTGTAGCATTGTAACATTCTTTCTTTATTGTGGTTTATTAAATTTAAAAAAGAAAAAATTTTGATATTCTTGCTTATGCAAGAGAAAACAAAATGAAATCTCTTTTTTTTTTTTTTTTTTTTTTTTTTTTTTTTTTTTTTTTTTTNTTTTTTTTTTTTTTGGAGATGGAACATCCGAAACACGTAGGAAAAATATTTGCAGATAAACTTTAAGAAAATGTTTTCTTCTTATTAGAGTTAAAACCTAATACCAGCGAAATCACTCTATAAAATTTAATGATCTAATATGAAACTCCTATTTAGACTTTCCATTCCATACTTTTCTGAATCATATTACTTCACACATTAAAATAAATATCACACATTAAAATATGCATACAGAAACCCAAAATGTTATATCATTTAATTTTGCAAAAAAAAGTTGTTTGACAATTTTTATCAAAAAATTTAAAGTTTCAATTAAAAATTGTTTTTTACAACTGAAAAACGTAAAATAAAGAATGCTTACGATAAAAAAAATGATTCTAAAAATTCCTCATATTGAAATAAAAAAAACTTCGATATTGTTTTTTTTTCTTATTATTATTCTTAATCAGACGTAGAAAACCATTCTGTAGAGAACTATCATCAAACCAAAAAAACAAATTATTTACAAGTAAATTTTTCATTATAAAAATCATGACACTTACCTGCTTTATAAATGTGGAGAATTGCAAAATAAAATCTTCGTTTGAGAATTTTATTTTCAAATAATATATATACATAGGTTATCAATTCATTAATTTAAGATAACATACCATACAATAAAATTTTGAAATTGTAAGATCTCGATATGAATTTCAATATGTAATTTAAAAACAGAACACCTGAATTTTAGTTGAAATTAATCATTCAAAATTAAAAAATACTCATCAAGAAAACGATAAAATTTATTAACAATCAACACAAATGATACTATTACAAGTAATTCGGATGATTCTTTATTGTTTTTCGAATTAGGTACGAATTAGATACAGAGAACTATATACCATTCTATGAAGAAGAAGAATATTCTATAATTATTACTGTTCTACACATTCTGAAATCACATTTATTCATTGGAATGTAATAAGCAATGTTAATTTCACTTTAATTTATAATGAATTGAAGATAGATGAATTGAAGAAAAAGATATTTTACTGTCATGCATAAATATGTAACAGAATGCGATCACGAAATCAGAAGTTTTCTTTTGAAAAATTGTTGATAATAGAAGGGAGAAAATTCTAGAAAAATTGTTTTTCAAGTGTTGGGCGCGTTCTGTTTTAGAGAGATTTACCTATGTTCTGGATCGTTTTTTTTTTCAAGTTCCTCTGCATTTTCTTCAGGGAAATTTTGCTTCCTATTTGCTGCTAAAAAAATAGGCGCTCTACTTCGCCAATGATTCTGATAAAACTAAATGAAAACTTAATAAATAATAGCCTGTAAATATCCTCTCCGCTAGAGGACGTTTTCAAGTGTTGCGATAAAGAATTGCATTTGGTAAAGTCGTTTGAGAAATGCAATTTTCTCATTAGTTAAGTTTTAGTCATCGTTTTAAAGTCAATTCGCGATCGCAACGCTTGAGTACGCCCTCTGGCGGGAGCCTGAAAATATCGGCATGAGTTCTATCATAACCATAATAGACTGACGCCATTTTCTTAGCAGCTAATAAGAAGCAAAGTTTCCCTCAGGAAAAGACTGAAGAACTTGAGAAAATGAACCAGAACATGCCAAACATTGAAGCAGCACACGCCAAGCATTTGAAAAACAATTTCTCAATAATTTTTACCTTTCTATTGTCAACAAACTTGTAACTTTGGGATCGCATACTGTTACAGATGTGTGTATTACGGTAAAATAATTTTTTTTTTTTTTTTTGGTCTTCAATTCATTACAAATCAAAGAGAAGTCAACATTGCTTTCTTCATTCCAATGGATAAATGTGAATTCAGAACTTACAGAACTGTAATAGTTATAGAATATTCTTCTTCTTTATAGAATAGTATATATTTCTGTATCTACATAATTCGGAAAACAACAATAAAGAACCCTCCGAATTACATGAAACAGTATCATTTGTGCTGATTATTAATAAATTTTTATCGTTTTCTTGGTAAGTATTTTAGAAAGAATAATTTAAACTAGAATTCAGCTATTCTGTTTTTAAACTACATATTAAAATTCATATCGAGATCTTACAATCATAAAATTTTGCTGTGTGGTATGTTATCTAAAAGTATTGAAGAAATAATCTATGTATATATTATTAGAAAATAAAATTTTCAAACGAAGAACATATCATTTTGGAATTCTTCGGATTTATAAAACAGATGAGTGTTATGATTTTAATAACAAAAAATTTACTTTTAAGTCATTTTTTTTTTTCTTATTTGATGATAATTTTCTATAGAATGGTTTTCTACGTCCGATTATGAATAAAACAACAAAAATACCTTGAAAGTTTTTTTTTTAATGTGAGGAATTTTTAGGATTGTTTTTTTCTGTAAGCATTCTTTATTTTACGTCTTTTAGTTTCTAAATAATGATTTTTACTGAAACTTGAAATTTTCTGATAAAAATTTTAGTCAAAAAAGTTTTTTTACAAAACTAAATTCTATACAATTATGATGCTTATGTATACTTTCTGCTTATTTTAATGTTTGAAGTAATATGATTATTAAAACTATGGAATGTAAAGATTAAATAGGCCTTTCATGTCACATCATTAAATTTAGTAAAACTCTAATAAGAAGATACATATTTTTTCTGTTTATTTACAAATATTTTTCCGATGTGTTTTGGATGTTCCTTCTCTAAAAAAAAGAGATACCATTTTGTTTTCGTTTGCATAAGAAGAAATATCATACATTTTTCTTTTTTAAATTTAATAAGCCACAATAAAGAAGGAACGTTACAATGCTACACGCTACATTAAAGACGTCTCCAGAGTAACTGTTCATATAGAAATCGCAGGTATTCGTCTCATACAACAACGCCCCCTATAGTNAGGAACTAGACTAATACAATTCCAACCTGCCGAGTAGCGACTTATAACAAGACACTTCGTTTGATGCTTTTACTTGTTGCTAGAAATCAGGTTCGCAGAAAATGCTGTTTACTAGTTAAATTTAGTAGGAATAACACGACCTGTGACGTAGGCTATAGTATACCCAACTATCTCATTAGTTAAGTTTCAGCCATCGTTTTAAAGTCAATTCGCGATCACAACGCTTGAGTACGCCCTCTAGCGGGAGCCTGAAAATATCAGCATGAGTTCTATCATAACCATTGGCAAAGACCGACGCCATTTTCTTAGCAGCAAATAAGAAGCAAAATTTCCCTTAGAAAAAGACAGAAGAACTTGAGAAAACGAATCAGAACATGCCAAACATTGAAGCAGAACACGCCAAGCATTTGAAGAACAATTTCTCAATAATTTTTACCTTTCTATTATCAACAAACTTGCAACTTTGGGATCGCATACTGTTACAGATGTGTGTATTACGGTAAAATACATTTTTTTTTTTGGATCATCAATTCATTACAAATCAAAGAGAAGTCAACATTGCTTTCTTCATTCCAATGGATAAATGTGAATTCAAAACGTACAGAACTGTAATAGTTATAGAATATTCTCCTTCTTTATAGAATAGTATATATTTCTGTATCTATATAATTCGGAAAACAACAATAAATAATCATCCGAATTAGATGAAATAGTATCATTTGTGCTGATTATTAATAAATTTTTATCGTTTTCGTGGTAAGTATTTTTCAGTTTTGAAAGAATAATTTAAACTAGAATTCAGCTATTCTGTTTTTAAACTACACATTAAAATTCATATCGAGATCTTACAATTATAAAATTTTGCTGTGTGATATGCTATTTAAAAGTAATGAAGGAATAATCTATGTAAATATTATTTGAAAGTAAAATTTTCAAACGAAGAACATGTCATTTTGGAATTCTTCGAATTTATAAAACAGGTGAGTATTATGATTTTTATTACAAAAAATTTACTTTTAAGACATTTTTTTTCTTATTTGATGATAATTTTCTATAGAATGGTTTTCTACGTCCGATTATGAATAAAAACAAAAAAAAACCTTGAAAGTTTTTTATTTAATGTGAGGAATTTTTAAAATATTTTTTTTTTTCGTAATCATTCTTTATTTTACGTCTTTTAGTTTCTAAATAATGATTTTATTGAAACTTAAAATTTTCTGATAAAAATTGTTGTCAAAAAAGCTTTTTAGAAAATTAAATTATATACAATTATGAGGCTTATGTATACTTTTTGCTTATTTCAATGTTTGAAGTAATATGATTCTTAAAACTATGGAATGTAAAGATTAAGTAGGCCTTTCATGTTATATCAATAAATTTAGTAAAACCATTTCTCAGGCATTAGGTTTTAACTCTAATAAGAAAATACATATTTTTTTCTGTTTATTTACAAATATTTTTCCGATGTGTTTTGGATGTTACTTCTCTTAAAAAAAGAGATACCATTTTGTTTTCGTTTGCACAAAAAAGAATATCATGCATTTTTCTTTTTTGAATTTAATAAGCCACAATGAAGAAGGAACGTCACAATGCTACACGCTGCATTAAAGACGTCTCCAGAGTAACTGTTCATATAAAAATCGCAAGTATTCGTCTCATACAACAACGCCCCCAATAGTTCGTTGCGATTGCTAACATGCAACTCGAGAAGAAGTAAAGTTATTATTGTCAACCATTTGCTTTAAACGTTTAATTGGATACCAGCAAGCGACGTCACGCGTATGTTTCGAACCTGATTGACTTCTGAATCGATAAATGCTACGATTACATCACTTGCAGTTATCCAATAACCGATGATTTCAAATCTTGAAAAGATGCCCTCAGTGATGTTTGCTAGATTATAGCTCTATTTGGTGTTAGAAGAGATTTGTTTCTGCTTCTTTAATATTTAATTATTTTTTAATCATTACGTCAGATAACAAAAAGATCAGTTTCAATGTGGAAGCATAGGTGAACTACGTCACAATAATGTAATAAGCACTGAAACTACGTGTTTATTTTGTAATTAAGCTATGCATGAAAAACAAAACTAATAGAAAAATCGCAATAATTCGTTAAGAAAAAAGTTAAAAGTTGCCCCCACCCCCAAACAAATTTCCTTTTTGCTTTGAAAAAAAACATTTAAACTTTTTATATGTTCTTCTCTGTTATCAGGGCACCATTATGTCTGGGTGTAAGATACTTTTGGGTGAGAAAAGTGTACTTTTCTGTTTTATCTTCTGCACAACCTTAAGGGTGAGCCATTTAAAAAATTAAAACGTACCAGTATACACACCAAAAACAAATTCATAACTTCGCTAGATAAAGCTCCAAAACTATCTGCGAATTTAAAATAAAAACCTAATTTAAGACTATTAATGATAAAGCGATGAAGAAATTTTATATTCCTCTAGTTTTTCAAAATAAATCTTTATTTTATTCGATAATACGTAGACAATTGTTTTCATTTATTTTATTTATGAAGTTCAGGTTAGGGATTAATGTTAAAACGGTGGAGAAATTTTTTATTCTACAAGTTAAATATTTTCAAAATAAAGTTGTGTTTTATTCGATAATATGTTGACAATTGTCTTCATATATTTTGCGTATAAAGTCGAGGTTCCGGTTTAATGTTGGGAGATTAATAATAAAACGCTAAAGAAATTATTTTTATCAAGTTTATTATTTTCAAAATAAAGTATATTTTAATTTGTTCGTAACAAAACAAACTCAACGGGTAAAAGTATGAAAGTTGAAAACATTAAAACATGAAAGAAAATATTTTTTCCTTCGAACTAAAATAAGATTTTTAATTCAAAAAGAATTATGACGTAATTTAAAACGGTTATTTAAAGAAATATTCTTGGAATATATTAAAATTAGAATACTTAAGAGGAACAAAAAGCGGAAGAAAAATGTTAAGTGCTTTCATTATGATAAAATATCTCTTCTTTAGGAAATTAATCTAGAAAGTATTATGGTAAAAGCACCTTCTTTTGTTCTACTGTCTCTGTTTAACACTTTTTTCTCCGCTGAAAATAAATTTCTCGATTTTCACTTTTTTAAATATTACGCTGAGTGTAACTTATTCATATGAAATTTTTTAACGAGGTAGTGTATTAGTGCTTCCTCGTTAGAACTAACAGTTTATGACATTGCATTTAGGTTTTTTTTAAGCAAATAAAGATTTTTACAATAAGAGTTATTTTGTGAAGTAAAAGGAACTAAAAAGAGTCAAGTAATACTTCCTGAAATACTTATTTTAAAAAAAGTTAATAAATTAAAAGAGGGTAATAAAAAGAGAAAAATGAATATAACCAGACAAGAGAAATTTTTTAAATCCGTCAAAATTAAATTATGGACCTAATAAATTAAAATATAAAAAATGGAATGAAATAAAACTGCTTGAAAAAAAATTTAATTTCTTCTTACGGTATCTCTATAAAAATTAAAATTTCATTTTCTTTCTATTATCCAGAAAACTGATTAAAGTATTTTAAGGGATAGTTTTAAAAAACGTTATCATGTATGAGAAAGGTTTTAAAAGTCTCTACATACTTCCTGTGAACTAAAAATGGACGCTTACAACCTTGTACTTTTAAATACAATTACAACCTTTCACTTACGATTCTGAAGGGTCTTAAAAACATTTCAATTAAGTTTCAATACGTGCAAATGAATGTGCTGCCATCTATATATTTGATCTGAAAGTAATCTAATGGAATCAATTATGTACCAGACTACGATCTACAGGACAGTTAACCTATTCTTAAAAATATCTAACTAATAAGTCACTATTTAACGAATTGCTTTAAATATTACTTCGTACGTAATAAAAAGACACTTTTAAAAAGAGGTGAACAACACTATTAACTACATCTATTATTCAATTCTATCACTTGTCATTGAATATACGTTACTTGTTTTGAATATTTTCATGAAATATTCGCAACTGCCTTTTCTTTTGATAGTGCTGTTAGGATAATATAATAACTTTGTTCCGATTGTTACATTTGAAGATGCATCAAACGCTAAAGGAACTTTTTCAATAACTCTTTCAAATAATGGGTGTTCCGTACAGACCACCCTTAATACGTATTGCAATATGATCTCCTTTGTACATCATTTTAAGGAATAATTTAAAATGGCTAAGTGCAAAAATTAAAGAAAATTGATCGAACAGTTTCTGAGAAATCGAGTTTTAAAGAAATCGTTAATTTTTTTTTTTTTGGTTTCTCAAGAACTATTCGAACCAAACTTTCGTTTAAATTTGGTATTTTAACAAATCAAAATTCCCTTCCTTAAAATGATGCAAAAAGTTGCATACCTGGCAATTCAAAACATTTCGACTATTATTAAATGAAATAATAAATCTTAATAAATAATCATTAAAGTTTTTTTTGCGTCGAATTATCTTTGGATAAACCAATTTTATAAGTGTGTGCAAAAATGTTTTCGATCCACCTGAAAATTTCTCGAGATTGTTGAAACATGCAAAAAGTAAAATTAGCATTAACTACTGGGACCACATTTCCCAGATTGCGGCTACCCGTATATTCTGAGGGTTATCCGTCGAAAAAAGTTATTCAGAAAAAAAACGTTTCTGTGCGGGATTCCGTAACTTAAAACATCTTCTGCACTAACTAATTAGCACCCTCTCAATCTATAAGAATTGAGACCTATTACGTATTCAAAAGTTTTTCAAGATAATTATTTTTTTAAAAATCCCATTTTTCCTCTAAATCTGTAAAATCGGCACCATTCCTAATCGTGTATGAGCGTCGAACATGCTTTTATCAGCATTATTTTAATAAATCAATTTATGTATGCCCCCTTTACTTAAAAATATTTCAGTAATTTGTTCGTTGGAATAAAATTATTTGCATTACGTAAAGGAGACAGATTTTGAAAAATTGGAGGTCACGTGTTCAGAAATTTGCTCCTTACTTATTGGTTCACGTCTCATAGAAATGCAGCTGTTTGAATCGATGAAAACCATTTGATTAAAAATGTGAATATCATTTACTCTTTATTTTAACATTTGTTTGTATAATCATTGATGATGCTAAATAGTTACCTTTGCTGGCAGTAGGAGGATATTGAATTTATAATTGAAGGTTTGAGCTTCTCTTATACCTTTTTATTTTATCATTTCATTTATAATTATTGGTAGAGACAAATAGTTAGTGATATACTATAGTGTATACTAACTATACAACTATAGTTTTGAAGTCGATAATAGTTTTCGAGGGGAATGACTATGTTTGGTTAAGACTAAAATAAGTAGAAAAATTAGTTATTTGGTTGCTGAAATAATTTTTCCGCGTTGAAAATATGCTTAAAAAAATTCTTTAGAAAATTTAGATTGCGTTCAGACTGATTTTCTATCTAAATAGATGTAAAATAGATCTAAATAGATTTTATAGATGTAAAAATATATAGAATTATTTCATCTGTATAATGTACTTTTTTTTCTTTTTTTGTAATGTCGTAACACAAGAATTTCAGAATTGTATCACCTTTAAATAAATAAAATTCACAGCCAAACTAATGATTTAAAAACGTATTTATTGATTTTAAAAAATTATTTGACATATATTTTAAACAAAAATTCCCCAGATAAATTTTATGATTTATATTTGAAAACCTATAACATGCTTTGAGTTCATGAAAACTGTAGGTTAAATTCAGTGTTGCTAAAAAAAGTTCTCCTTGACCCAAACAGCAAACAACAGGGGGTGTTATTAAACAATAAAACTATGTTACAAAAATATTATTCAACTTCATGTTATTAAACGTTGATTTTTATGTAAGTTTAATTAATAATAATTTTACGTTTTAATTTTTCAAAGAATGAAGAATGTGAATTTTACGTATACACTTTACATTTATATACGTCTATACTTAGTTAAAAAAAAGTAAGTGTATTGAGTTTCCCACTAAAAACTAAAACCATTAAATAAAAAAATAATTTCAAATACACTCATGGACAAAAAAAATTAGCTCATCAAGAAGGAGTCGTCGAAATGTAACGAAATTTTACATAAGTAATGACTACTTTGATATAAGTAAATAATTAGAAAATCAGAGAAAAAGGATAATTTATTTCAGAGAAAAGGACAAAAGAACGGAGGAATTAATGCCCCGTTGGACCCCCTCTAGCGCGAATGCACGATGCGATACGATCGGGCATTGAGGCATACAAGTTCTGTATGATATCTTGAGACATTTCGTTCCATATTTTCTGTAACCTTGCCTCTAGTTCGTTCAAACTCGTGGGAAGCCCAACTCGCCGTCCCAAATGATCCCAGATATGCTCTATTGAAGACAAATCTGGGGATCAGGCTGGCCAAGGAAGGGTAGTAACCGTACGGAGACAGTCTTGTGACACCCTTGCCGTATGAGGCTGAGAATTGCTTGTTGAAAAATGGCTCCTGGGAGCCGTTGCATGAGTGGCAACACATGTGGTTGCAGGATTTCATGGACATACCGCTGGACTGTCATGGTGCCACGGAACAATACTAGGGTTGACTGTGTATTGTTGGCAATTGCACTTCATACCATCACACCAACTATGGGAGCGGTGTGTCGCTCTACAGCAAAGGCAGGATTGAGGCGTTCACCACGCGGTCTCCACACACGAACCCGATTGTCATCACTGCTGAGATTGAATCTGGATTCGTCGATAAAGACGACCTGGTTCCATTCCTCTGCAGTTCAGTTTCCTCGTGTGCGGCAAAACTCCAAACGGAGGTGTCGATGGGTGGGCGCAATTATTTCGTGGTGCGCTAATTTTTTTGTCCATGAGTGTATATAAAATAAAATTCTTTTCAAACATTATCATATCCAATTTATTACACAAAAAGTCATGTTGTTTTAAATTCTATATTATTAATTTTACGTTTTGACTAACCAGAAAACGTGACTAGAGTAATATAAGCCTGACTCAAATTGCAAATCTTAAAAAAGAATAACGACACATAAACAGGCGTACTAGTATGTCTATTTAGTTTTCAGAAACAGATGTACTATATTTTTTTCTGTTTATATAGCTTTATTTTTTATATTTTATTTTTTATCGCACACGTACATTAATAGTCGCGTGTGTGCTTTAACTTCATAAGTATACTTATAAATCTCTGACTAATAGTAGAACAGCTGTGTAATGGTTAAACACCGATGCCTTCCTGCAACAGCGTGGTTTGGTGACCGAAACCAATCAGCCATAGAATGACTGCTTATGCGGCTTTATTTTTGTTACTAGAGTAGGTCTGTTAATTTGTGCTATTTTTTTAGCTGTTTAACTTTATTAAGATATAGCGCATATTTAACCCTTCTTCAGGCATGTTTAAAACACATATGGCAATTTGCCATCGTCAAATTATTAGTTTTTAATTATTAATTTATTTTAATTATTTAATTTTTATTTAGTTTATAAAACAATTTAGTATTTTTTTCAAATTATTTCTGAATTAGTTAAACTTTTATCTACACCAGGGGTTCCCAATTTTTTTCGACTACGAAACCCTTAATAAACAACCTCATTTCAGCGGAACCCCTACTTTGTGAAGTTTATCAAGGTAATTGTGAATCTATAAAAGATTATTTTTAAATATTTAATTAGGTATATAAAGATTTTTAACTGTTTTAATATTAATAATCTTACATTATGTTTCTGTCTGACAATTGAATTTGCAATCCTGGTGATATATCTAGTCCAGTTATGAATTTGTTTTTGATGTATATACATAAGCTGAAAATTAATAAAATAAGACAAATCATATGGTTTACTTCAAAACTTAGAAGAACTGTTATAAAAGTTAAAAAATAGTTATTGGGGAAACATATTTCTTTATTAATAATATTGATTTTGTTTTGCTTTGAAATATGTAATGAGAAATACTGATGCAATATTTTATAAATCGTTGTTCTTTGTACAATTTGTTCGATATATTGTTGTTAGAAATATATTTTCTTTTAAAAAATGCCATTTCTAGTTTTTTGGCGTTTTACTTGAAATAATTTCATAAAGGCAAACCGAAGGATTATATAAATTATGAATTATAGCTTGGATTTAAATATAATCTAAGGTTTCAAAACTCATCACTGGTTATAAAAGCTAATTATTAGCGGAACCCATTAAACTATTCCACGGAGCCCTAGGCTTCAGCGGAACACCATTTGGGAACCGCTAATCTACACACATAAATCTCTTACAAAATTGGAAAAAATTAAGTCTCTGAAAAAAGTGATAAAATGTAAGAAGAAAGGACTTATATGGTTTTATCTTATAATGTAGCCAGAGATTATGACATAATAAAATCAAAAGCAAAATGAAATTAATAGTAAAATACACTAAACATTAATTTATGTGTCATAATAAGATTTCAACACAAAGTAAGTTAGAAAAAAAGTATAAAATCGGTGCTATTATTACATCACTAATCAACGTGGGATCCTTTGTTTTCGATTGCATTTATCAATCTCACATTCATAGACCCAGATAAAGTTCGTAAAATGCTGATATCAATTTTATTCTAAGAGATCTTTTGCGTCAATCAAATCCAACTTGCTCTTGAGTCGGCGGCTAGATCTGTAAACGTCTCTTACTAATATGCCCCAAATGTTTTTTACCGGATTCGGATCTGGGTTACGAGATGGCCTCTCAAGAAATTTAACCTCATTTGCTCATCAAGAAATTTAACCTCATTTATTTCATAATTCAGGAGTCAGTTCAATATTAAGTATGGACTACCGTATTGTCTTGTTGGAAGGTCCAGTCTTTGGATGCTATAAGAGGAACAGCAGGCGATAAATTAGCTCCCAACATGTCCTGAATTGTATTCATTTCAGTTTGTAAAAATATAATTAGAGTTGTACCGCCTGCTGCAAAAGTGTCCCAAATAATAACGAACCCACCGCCAAATTTACGTTTAAAAAATAAATGTTCCTCAGTCCGTAAGTCGTCCGGAAAGCATCGATATTCATCTGGTACATCCTTTTTTTCATCATAAAAGACCACATCACTCCAATTAGTACCTTTCATAAGATGTTGCTTCGCAAATGCTAAACGAGCATCTTTGTGCATTTTAGTAAGCTGAGAAATTCCTTTAATTTTAATTGAATGTTTGAATTATTTTTTAAATAATTTCTAACCGTGCGGCTGCTGCATGGCAACTGCATTTCATTTTTAATTTGTTCAGATGACATCTCAGCTCTTTCTTGATTCTTGATGAAATTTTTTTGCCTTCCAATACGCTGTTTTCAGCTATAGCTTTCAATATTCCGGAAGTAACTATTTACTATAGCTTTGGAACTTCCTATTTTTTGCAATTTGTGAACCACTCAAGACCATTTTTTTAAAAGATAAAATTCTACCTCGTTCTGACTTCCGGTTAACTGAATTCCCTTTGGCATTGTAAATTACCAAAATTGTAAATTGTAAATTACGCGTGCAAATTACCAAAATCTGCTTATATGCATCTCGGATATTAAAACTTGTACTAGAGAAAATCATTTTCTCGCATGTTTTAGGTCTGACAATGACGTAATCAGTATCGACTTTATACTTTTTTCCAATTTTTTTTCAATGAATGTTTTTAATTAGTTTTTCGTGTATATGAACACGTATTTAGCTAACATCCCTGCAACGCTCCGTGTATACAAGCTTCGTGTTTAGCCGGCATATATACAATGTCCTGTGCATACGAGCACAGTATTCAGCCTGCATTCACGCAATGCCCTGTGAATACGAGCTTTGCCGACATCCACGTCAAACCATGTGTGTATACGGGAGCCGTATTCAGCTGGCGTGGTGTCAACGAAACCGTTACAAAACCAGTCTAATTTATTTTGATAAAACATATTTAGTTTTCAAAATACATGTATTTACCCTCGCATTTAACTCGATTCAATATTAAATCGTAATATCGCTACCATTTTAATAGGTTGCTGCAGATTTAAACTAAATTATGCTTCAATGCAATTCACGATTTCTGACGGTAGTGTAATCACGAAAAATGTTTTCGTCATTTTCATTATTTTTCATTTCAATCTTATTTTTTTTCCTTTTACAGACATTCCAAATGTGTGGATATAAATATGGAAAAAGCAACAAAAGCACCGTTGTATAGTCGTATGAACGGAATCATTTATCCTTCAATGTTCTCTCCAACATGTTTCAGAGAAGCGCTGAACTACAAGGCTCAACCTAATGACACCTTTATTGTTACTTATCCTAAATCTGGCACAACTTGGATGCAGCATATACTCTTGTATATTTTCCGCAAAGGAAGAGAACTGAAAATTGGAAAAACGGGTGACTTAGACGTGTCAGAATTCATCAAATATTGCCCATGCATCGACATGTATGGATTTGAAGGCATTCAGAAAATGAAGAAGCCCGGATGTATTAAAACGTATCTACCTTACAACCGTCTCTCATTGTCCCCTGAAGCAAAGTATATATTTGTTGCGCGGAATCCAAAAGATTGCTGTGTGTCTTTTTATCATCACGCGCGAAATCATCCAGGCTTTGGATACTGGGATGGCAATTTTAATGACTTTTTCGAGCTTTTTATGAATGGGGAATTAGAGTGTAATGATTATTTTGATCATTTACTTTCTTGGTATCCCCATCGTAATGATTCGAACGTCTTTTATACAACGTATGAAGAGATGAAAAACGATATTAGGGGCGTTGTTGTGTCTGTTTCAAAATTTTTGGGTCAAGAATACACTGAAGCAATCGAGAAAGACAACTCTGTTCTCAACAATATTATTCTGTTTAGTAGTTATGAATACATGCAGAAGCATTATTGCAGACCAAGCCTTTCCGGCATGAAAGAGTCGAATTCTGAAACTTATTCTGGAATTAAATACATAACTGAATTCATCACCAGTTTGGATTTACCTTCTAGGGTTTTAGCAAAAAGCAATGTTAGGAAAGGAGTTGTTGGAGACTGGAAAAATGTGTTGAGTTATGAACAAAGTCCAAGATTGACAGAAAAATATGTTGAAAAAACAAAAAACACTGACATCAAAAATTGGTTCTCTGAAGCAATTTTATAAAATAAAAAAATAGTTTACAAAAGCTAGATTATACTTCCTGAACAATACAATTCGACGGGAAGGACATGTATGGATACTAGGAAAAATACAATTCTACGTCATAGCTGATTTTCCTAGACCTGCGGTTCCCAAAGGCTGTTCCTCGGAAACCTAGGATTCTGCGGAAAGAACATTTATGTTCCGAGAATCAGAACTTGATTGAGATAAGCAATACACGGTTAAGCAAAAATTTATAATGGAAACACGACAGGAGAATTATTTCTGTTAAAATAGAAGATTGGTTCATCTGGAAAACCAGACAGGACTGCAGAAAATCTAATTAAATAATGCATGTCAGAAATAGTACTGGAAAATTTGCGGCGAAGTAAGTTTTTTCTAAATTATTAAACCAACAAATTTCAGACTATATGATTTACAGAAATGGCTTTTGTGGCTAATCTATTCAATAAACTAAAATCGGGGTTCCACACAAGGAGGTTGATCGTTGAAGGTTCCATAGCCGAAACAAAATTCAGAACCGCTGAACCTGACAACCAAAACGTTATCCGTCGATAGCCTAATATCTTTTTGTTTATCTCTACTGGACAATACTTTTTATACATTAGACATCATCATATGGTCTAAAGAAACTGTAATTTTATTTCTGGGATAATAGGTGTTATAACAATATCTTTTTGATAACACAACAATGATAACAGTTAAACAAAGATTTCTAATGGAAACACAGCAGGAACATTATTTCTGATAAATTAGAAGATTGGTTGATCTGGAAAACCAAACAGGATTACAGAAATAGTTAACAGACAACAGTTAACAGTTAAGTGCAATTAACAGAAATAGTTGGCTGTGTGCTGGTGAAAAAAATGCTGTGAAGAAAGCTTTTTCTAGATTGTGAAATTAACGATTTCACATCATATAACATGACGATGGCTTGTAAAAATGGCTTTTTTTGGCTAATATATTCAATTAACTGAAATTGAGGTTCCACCACAAGGAGGTTGGAGATTCCATGACCGAAGAAAATTGGAAACCGCTCTCTTATAGTCAACCAAAACATTATTCGTAGATAACCCAATATCTTTTTGCTTATCTCTACCAGACAATATTGTTTATACAGATGACGTAATATGGTCTAAAGAAGCTGAAATTTTATTCCTGGTATAATAGAAAACTGTATTTTTGCTAACACAGCAATGATAACCTTTAAAATTTTAAAGGACTTTTCATGTGAAATCCACTGATATTAAAAGCTTTACCTACTAATACCTCATTCAATCTTTAGTCCTAACAATCCTGTAAGTCCCGAGTACTTCTTTCAATCCTATGTCTCTACTCTATGTCATAGTTTAGCACCCTCTCAAACAATAAAAATTGAGACCTATTACGTATTCAAAACTATTTCAAGATAATTATTTTTTTAAAAATCCCATTTTTCTTCTAAATCTGTAAAATCGGCACCATTCCTAATCGTGTATGAGCGTTGAACATGCTTTTATCAACATTATTTTGATAAATCAATTTATGTATGCCCCCTTTACTTAAAAACATTTCAGTGATTTGTTTGCTGGAATAAAATTATTTGCATTACGTAAAGGAGAGAGCTTTTGAAAAAACTGGGGTCACGTGTACGTCAATTTGTTCCTTACTCATTGGTTCACGTCTGATAGAAATATTACTATTTGAATAGATGAAAATCATTTGATTGAAAACATGAATATCATTTTTAACTCTTTATTTTAACATTTATTTGTATCATCATTGATGATGTTAAATAGTTACCTTTGCTGGAAGTAGGAGGATATTGAACTTATAATTGAAGGTTTGAGCTTCTCTTATACCTTTTTATTTTACCATATTATTTATAATTATTGGTAGAGACAAATAGTAAGTAATATACTATAGAATATATTAACTATACAACGATAGTTTTGAAGTCGATAATAGTTTACAAGTAGAATGACTATGCTTTGTTAACACTAAATTAAGTATGAAATAAGTTTTTTGGTTGCTGAAATAATTTTTCCGCATTGAGTATTTAGATTACGTTCAGACTAGGATATTTAGATTAAGTTCAGACAGATTTTTTACCTAAAAAGATGTAAAATAGATCTATTTCATCTGTATAATGCAATTGTTTTTTGTAAAGTAATAACACAAAAATTAATGAATTGTAAATCCTTTAAAACTGTACAGCCAAAATAATGACTTAGAAACGTATTTACTGATTTAAATCAAATTATTTGACTTATATTTTAAACAAAAATCTTCCCAAATAAATTTTGGAGAGAAAAAATTTTATAGTTAATATTTGAAAACCTACAACATGCTTTGAGTTTATTATAACTATAGGTTAAATTCATTGTTTCTGCAAAAAGTTCTTAACACAAGTAGCGAACATCATGTTCTTAAACGTAGATTTTTATGTAAGCTTAATTAATAATAATTTTTCACACTTTAATTTTTTAAAGAAAAGTTTTAAATAACAGAAACAAACATTTAAGTTGCGAATTTCACGTTCATACGCTACGTTTTTATGCGTTTATATGTTAGTTAAAAAAAGTAAGTGTATTGAGTTACCCACTAAAAGCTGAAACAATTAAATAAAAAAATTATTTCATTTATATATATATATTAAAATTCTTTTCAAGCATTACTATTGCCAGTTTATTACACAAAAAGTCACGTTGTTTTTAAAATCTATATTATTAATTTGACGTTTTGAATAACCGGAAAACGTGACGATATAAGCCTGACTCAAATTTCAAATCTTTAAAAATAACGACACATAAGCAGGCGTACTAGTATGTCTATTTAGTTTTCAGAAACAGATATACTATATTTTTTCTGTTTATATAACTTTATTTTTATACTATAGTTTCATTTTTTTTATCGGCACAAATACATTTACAGTCTTGTGTGCTTAACTACATAAGTATACTTATAAGCCTCTGTCTAGTAGTAGAGCAGCTGTGTACTAGTTAAACCCAATGCCTTCACGCGGCAGACCATTTGGTGACCGAGACCACTCGGCCAGGAAGCCCCATTCTATAGTAAGACTGTTTTTTGTCACCATAGAATGACTGCTTATGTGGTTTTGTTTTTGTTACTAGAGTAGGTCTGTTAATTTGTGCTATTTTTTGCGTTGTTTAACTTCATTAAGATAAAGCGCGTAGTTAACCCTTACTTCAGACATGTTTAAAACACATCTGACAATTTGCCAGCTTCAAATCATTAGTTTTTAATCGTTAATTAATAATAATTATTCAATTTTTATTTAATTTATAAGGCAATTTATCATTTAGTTTTTTTTCAAATTATTTCTGAATAAGTTAAACTTTTATTTACACCAGTAGTTCCCAATTTTTTTCGGCTACGAAACCCTTAATAATCAACCTCATTTTTAGCGGAACCCCTCCTTTATGAAGTTTATCAAGCAAATTGTGAATATATAAAAGATTGAATTAAATATTTAGTTAGGATTTTAAATATTTAATTAGGGGAATAAAGATTATTAAATACTTTATTATTAATAATCTTAAATTATGTTTATGTCTGACAGTTGAATTTGCAATCCTTGTGATATACCTGTATCTAGTCCAGTAAATGAATTTGTTTTTGGTGTATATACATAAGCTGAAAATGAATAAAGTAAGACAAATTATGGTTTACTTTGAAACTTAGAAGAACTGCAATGACTTAGGAGAACTGCTATAAAAGTTGAAAATAGTTATTGGGGAAACATATTTCCTTATTAATAATGTTAATTTTATTTCGATTTAAAAAGTACAATGAGACATACTGATGCAATATTTTATAAATGATTGTTCTTTTTATAATTTGTTAAATATATTGCTGTTAGAAATATATTTTCTTTTAAAAAATACCATTTCTAGTTCTTTGGCATTTTACTTGAAATAATTTCATAAAGGCAAACCGAAGGATTATATAAATTATGAATCATAACTTGAACTTAAATATAATCTAAGGCTTCAAAACTCATCTCTGGTTATAAAAATTGATTGTTAGCGGAACTCCTTAAACTCTTCCACGGAGCCCTAGGCTTTCGCGGAACTCCCTAAACTCTTCCACAGAACCCTAGGCTTCCACGGAACTCCTTAGACTCTTCCACGGAGCCCTGGGCTTTCGCGGAACTCTTTAAATTCTTCCACTGAACCTAGACTTCCGCGGAACCCCTTAAACTCTTCCACGGAGCCCTAGGCTTTTGCGGAACTCCTTAAACTCTTCCACGGAGTCCTAGGCTTTCGCGGAACTCCTTAAACTCTTCCGCGGAGCCCTAGTCTTCCGCAAAACACCATTTGGAAACCGCTGATCTACACATATACATCTCATACAGTGTTGGAAAAAAGTAAGTCACTGAAGAAAGTGATAAAATGTAAAGAGAAAGGACTAGATGGTTTTATTTATACTATAGCCAGAGATTATGACATAATAAAATAAAAAGCAAAAGAAAATTAATAGTAAAGTGCATTAAAAATTAATTTATGTGTCATAATAAGATATCTTTGTTCTAAGGTATCTTAATTGCATCAATCAAATCCAACTTACTCTTGAATCGTCGGCCAGGTCTGTAAACGTCTCTTACTAATATACTCCAAATGATGAAATTCAGATCTGGAATAATTTCTAACCGTGAAGCTGCTGCATGGAAACTGCATTTCAGTTTTATTTTGTGCGGATGACAACTCACCTTCTTCCAGATTCGTCTTCCTTGCCTTGATGAAATATCTCTTTTTGCTTTCCAATTTACTACCATAGCTTTCAAGATTCCGGAAGTAACTATTTACTGTAGCTTTGGAATTTGAGAACCACTCAAGTCAATTTCTTTAAAAGCTAAAATTTTACCTCATTCGACTTCCGTTAAGTGAGTTAACTTTGACATAGTAATGCGCGAGCAAATTTCCAAAATCTGCTTATATATATCTCGGATTTACTTCTTGTGCTGGAGCAAACAGTTTTCTTGCATGTTTTAGGCCTAACAATGACGTAATTTTTATCGAATTTATATTTTTTTCAGCGTTGTTTACATCAATATGCGCAATGTTTATATCAATATTGCCATGATTTAAATAACATGAGGAAAATAAAATCGTCTTGCAAAACAATTAATCTCCACATTTTCAAGTAGAAAATAAATTTGCATTTTCAGCCATAACAGTGGTGTTTCTTATTTCGCAACTTTTTGCTCGACTTTGTAATTATTTCCAGTACTTATACCCGTGTTGAATTCATTACTTTGTAGTTTTAAAGCTGAATTCAATGACTTAAGGGTATTGCACAAGATATACTCTTTTACAAATATCACGTTTTAAAAACAAATTGCTTCTTAGTATTGTTTCCCGATAGGTATTTTAAAAATTTCTGAAACTTCCTCTAGGTTATAGCGCACGCAGTACTTGCTTGCTTGAAAACTATGATGTATTTCACCAAAAACTTTCCTGTGAACGATTTGGGCTCGCGACTTATTATACAGAGTCTTTATAAAGTCCCGGACCCATTTTGATGTTTAATAACTCATAAAATAATAAAGATAGATTAAAATTAATAACATAAATGGTTAGATAGACTCAAAAAGTTTCCTGACCCTTGTTAATGAACTTCCATGTGTGCCCCCTTCATCGCACGGAGAATATCAAGTCGATAGTCAATTTCACGTCAGGTAGCGGCAAGCACGTCGGCATCCACAGAGGCTATTGCGATTGTAATTCTGGCTTTTAGGTCATCAATATTCGATACGATTCTCCTGTAAGCATTGTTCTTTATAAATCCCCAAGGAAAAAAGTCCAGCGGTGTTATATCAGGTGATCTGGGTGGCCAAGGAATTGATCTTCCTCGCCCGATCCATCTTCCTGGAAAATGGTCATTCAAAGAACTACGAACGATGATACCCCCAATGAGGTGGTGCACCATCTTGTTGCAAAACGACATGTGGCTGAAGCTCTTCTAGTTGTGGAAATACGAAGTTTTCCAACATGCCTAAGTATACGACTGATGAGACCGTCTTTTCTGTAAAAAAGAAAGGCCCAATGACTCGGTCGTACGTTAGTCCACACCACACATTAACCTTTGGGTAATACCTTTGCGTCTCACGGTATTCATGGGGGTTTTCAGATCCTCTTATGCGCACATTATGGCGATTAACAATGCCAGAAACATGAAAGGATAACGTCGGAGAACATTATGCGCTTCAGAAAAACGCAATTGCCTCTGTGGATGCCTGGCGTGAAATTGACTATCGACTTAATATTCTCCGTGCGACGAAGGGCGCACACGTGGAAGTTCATTGACAAGTGTCATGAAACTTTTTGAGTCTATCTAACCATTTATGTTATTAATTTTAATCTATCTTTATTATTTTATGAGTTACTAAACATCAAAATGGGACCGGAACTTTATAAACATCATGTATTGCTCTAAATTACTCTTCACAAACATCTTTTTATTGTAATATCAATCTTTCTCTTCTGTAACTGGAAGTGATTTGACTTGCGTGTAAATTAGTTTTTGCGCATTTCGTTACAATCTAGGAAAATATTTAAGCAAGCTAGATAATTTTTACATATGGTTATAAAAGTTGTTCAACCAGAAGTTCCAATTGTAAGTAAACAATGAATTTTTTTATCATTATTTGTCTTTTTTTTTAATGATAGTAAAAGTTTCGAAGTGAACTGTACACAATTCGTTTGCCATATTAAACTAGCACATTTTAAATTAGAAAAACCAAACTTTTCACGAAATCTGCATGCCTTGTGTATACAAGCACCGTAGTTTGCCGACATCCACGCTATGTCCTGCTTATACAAGCACCGTAGTTTGTCGACATCCACGCACTGCCCCGTGTATACGAGCATCGTACTGTTTGTCTAAGATATGTACTCTGCCAGACATTCGTCTGGAGCTGTGGCGGTGACTATGGTAATGAGGTATGATCATTTCAAGTGAGGGTGCGGGGTTCCTCTTTAGGACTGGTTTCGGCGAGAGAAAATGAGACCTCTTCATCGAAGCTACCCTCCCTAAAATGCCCTCTTCTTGCTTCCATAGCACCAGACTGCCGCAGACTTAGTGGCTGTCAGAGTACCTATCTTAGACAAACAGTATCCTATCTCCTATGCCCAGTTAATTTTCTTTTTTACCGAAAAGGTGAAAAATATCCATTAAAGTAAACTTTACGGAGAATCAGAAGGACAGACTTCTCCATAATTTTAGAATGAAATTTCTAACAGTGTAGTACTTACTTATTTAACTTCCTTATCTACTTAAACAAATAGTAGGCAGATTTTAGTTCGACTATTAAATGAGCCGCTCAGAAGCCAATGCGGTTAAGTCCATTTTTTGATATTTACTGATTTTTGGAAATTTTGATGAAATAAATAATAATCTTCTTANACGACTGATGAGACCGTCTTTTCTGTAAAAAAAAGAAAGGCCCATGACTCGGTCGTGCGTTAGTCCACACCACACATTAACCTTTGGGTAATACCTTTGCGTCTCACAGTATTCATGGGGGTTTTCAGATCCCCATATGCGCACATTATGGCGATTAACAATGCCAGAAACATGAAAGGATACTTCGTCGGAGAACATTATGCGCTTCAGAGAACCGCAATTGCCTCTGTGGATGCCGACATGCTTGCTGCTACCTGGCGTGAAATTGACTATCGACTTAATATTCTCCGTGCGACGAAGGGCGCACACGTGGAAGTTCGTTGACAAGTGTCATGAAACTTTTTGAGTCTATCTAACCATTTATGTTATTAATTTTAATCTATCTTTATTATTTTATGAGTTACTAACCATCAAAATGGGCCCGGAACATTATAAACATCCTGTATTTCTCTAAATTACTCTTCACAAACATCTTTTTATTGTAATATCAATCTTTCTCTTCTGTAACTGGAAGTGATTTGACTTGTGTGTAAATTAGTTTTTGCGCATTTTGTTACAATCTAGGAAAATATTTAAGCAAGCTAGATAATTTTTACATATGGTTATGAAAGTTGTTAAACCAGAAAATCCAATAGTAAGTAAACAATGCATTTTTTTTTTGTTATCATTATTTGTCTTTTTTTTTAGTGATAGTTAAAGTTTCGAAGTGAACTGTACACAATTCGTTTGCCATATTAAACTAGCAAATTTTAAATTAGAAAAACCACACTTTTCATGAAATCTGCATACCTTGTGTATACAACCACCGTAGTTTGCCGACATCCACGTTATGTCCTGCTTATACAAGCACCGTAGTTTGTCAACATCCACACAATGCCCTGTGTATACGAGCACCCTAGTTTGCCGACATCCATACGAGGTCCTGTGTATACGAGTACCGTGTATACGAGTCCCGTATTTAACCAGCTCAGCGTTAACGAAACTTTTACATAACCGGCCCAATTTATTTTGATAAAACATAATTAATTTTTATAATATGTATGTTTACTCTCACAGAAAACTCGATGCAATGTTAAACCATAATATCGCTACCATTTTAATAGGTTGCTGTAATTTTAATAAGTGTTGAGTTGAACCATGCTTTTTATTCCGTAAAGATTGCAGCAGATTTGAACTAAATTATGCTTCAATACAATTCACGATTTCTAACTGTAGTGTAATCACGAGAAATTTTTTTCGTTATTTTCATTACTTTTCACTTCATTCTTCGTTTTTTTCTTCCTTTTTTCAGACATTCCAAATTTGTGGATTTAAATATGGAAAAAATAACAAAAGCACCGTTGTATAGTCGTATGAACGGAATCATTTATCCTTCCATGTTTTCCCCAGCATGCTTCAGAGAAGCGCTGAACTACAAGGCTCAACCTAATGACATCTTTATTGTTACTTATCCTAAATCTGGCACAACTTGGATGCAGCATATACTCTTGTATATTTTACGCAAAGGAAAAGAACTAAAAATCGATAAAACGGGTGACTTGGACTTGTCGGAATTCATCAAATATTGCCCGTTCATCGACATGTATGGATTTGAAGGCATTCAGAAGATGAAGAAGCCCGGATGTATTAAAACGCATCTACCTTACAACCATCTCTCATTGTCCCCTGAAGCAAAGTATATATTTTTTGCGCGGAATCCAAAAGATTGCTGCGTATCTTTTTATCATCACGCACGAAATCATCCAGGCTTCAAATATTGGGATGGCAATTTTAATGACTTTTTTGAGCTTTTTATGGATGGGGAATTGGAGTATAATGATTATTTTGATCATTTGCTCTCTTGGTATCCCCATCGTAATGATTCGAACGTCTTTTATACAACGTTTGAAGAGATGAAAAAAGATATTAGGAGCGTTGTAGTGTCTGTTTCGCAATTTTTGGATCAAGAATGCACTGAAGCAATTGAGAAAGACAATTCTGTTCTCAACAATATTATTCTGTTCAGTAGTTATGAATATATGCAGAAACATTATAGCAGACCAAGCCTTTCCGGCATGAAAGTGTCGAATTCTGAAACTTATTCTGGAGTTAAATACGTAGCTGAGTTCATCACCAGTTTGAATTTACCTTCTAGGGTTTTAGCAAAGAGCAATGTTAGAAAAGGAGTTGTTGGAGACTGGAAAAACACATTGAATTGTGGGCAAAGTCAAAGATTGACAGAAAAATTTTTTGAAAAAACAAGAAACACTGACATCAAAAATTGGTTTTCTGAAGGAATTTTGTAAAAAATAAGTAGTTTAAAAAATTAGATTATACTATTCGATAGTTAAAAATAGAAAAAAGTCAAATCGACGTCATAGTGAATTTTTGAAAATTGTTTCCTGGACCATAAAGTGATCCTCGGAATAAAACACGTCCAAAAGTAATACTTATAATTACGCGGGATGTAATAATATCGTATTTAAAGTATCGAAACTGGAAAATACAAGTGGAAGTGACGGAAACAAAATATTCATAAAACATAAAATTATTTTGCAACTATTAAATCAAAAGGAGATTTTCGAAAAACTTGTTGACAAATAATCGTTACTCAAATCTGAAATTTGCGTGTCCTTAAAACATTGTGTGTCGTGGTGTGTAATTAAAAATATCGATAAATGAGAAACCATGTAAAAATATATAAAAGAAAAAAAGTTGTCAGAATATTACAAAGATTTGCTATGGAATAGTCGTGAATTCAGTGGGTTAAAGAGTGTTAACTGAAATTCAAAATTTTCAAATAAAATTTCATCGGATTAAAAAGTATCGTAATTTGATAAACCACGGGGAAATGATCAAAAAATTCCAAGCAGGGAGTTGAACCCTGCAATTTACTTCTAGAATTAACTCTACATTGATGATTTTATGTATTATTGATGATGTTATGTTTTTATTGGCGGTGGTAAATAAACTTCACGTGAAGTGGGAATTTCTTTTAGTTTGAAATATTACTTGCATAGTTCTTATATCTAATAACTTTAAAGGCATATTTTTCTAAATATGCCTTTAGCATTTCTTTTTTATGTGTGTATTTTTGTATGTTTAAGTTCTGAGCTTTTTTAAAACTAATAATAAAATAAACAGTTAATCTCTGCGTTTGTCTATCTCTTATAACGGCAAAATAATTTGCACTGAGTCATCCTGAATGTCGGACATCGTCTGCAAGGGACAAATTTAGCCCGCAATCCTAAAATTCAGTCGAAATTTTCAAATGTCCGCGAACGCAAGGACCTATAGGGGGCGTTGTTATTTGAGGCTAATTACTGCTGACAGAACAACACAATTATCAGTTGGACTTCCGTCCGTGTGGCATTGTAACATTCCTTCTTTATTGTAGCTTATTAAATTTAAAAAAGAAAAATGTTTTATATTCTTTCTTATGCCAGTGATAACAAAATGGAATCTCTTTTTTTCTAGAGAAGGAACATCCAAAACGCATCGGAAAAATATTTGTAAATAAACTTAAAAAAAATTGTATCTTCTTATTAGAGTTAAAACCTAATGCATGCGAAATCACTCTACAAAATTTAATGATCTTATATGAAAGGTCTATTTAAACTTTCCATTCCATACTTTTCTGAACCATATTATTTCACACATTGAAATATGCTAAAAAGCTAAAGAAGTATACGGTAAACCATAATGTTAATTAGTTTAATTTTGCAAAAAAAAGTTCTTTGACAACAATTTTTATCAAAAAATTTAAAGTTTTAATGAAAGATCATTGTTTATAAACTAAAAAACTAAAAAATACTTAATATAAAAAGAAAACGATTCTAAAAATTCCTATTGAAATAAAAACTTCCATATTGTTTTTTTTTTATTCTTAATCAGACGTTGAAAATCATTCTGTTGAGAACTATTATCAAGTTATAATTGAAAAAATTAAATCTTCTTTGTTTGAAAATTTTATTTTCAAATAATATAATATACAGAGATTATCAATTCATTATTTTAAGATAGCATACCACACAAAAAATTTAAAAATTGTAAGATCTTGATGTGAATTTCAATTTGTAACATAAAAACAGAACAGCTGAATTCTAGTTGAAATTAATCAGTCAAAATTAAAAATACTTACCAAGAAAACGATAAAAACTTATTAATAATCAAGACAAATGATACTATTACAAGTAATTTGGATGATTCTTTATTGTTTTCCGAATTATATAGATACAAAAATATGTATCAGTCTATGAAGAAGAATATTCTGTAACTATTACTGTTCTGCGCGTTCTGAAATCACATTTATTCCTTGGAATGAAGTAAGCAATGGTAATTTCACTTCAATTTATAATGAATTGAAGACTGATGAATTGAAAAAAAAATGTATTGATGAATTGAAAAAAAATTTATTGATGAAATGAAGAAAAATGTATTTTACTGTCATAGTCACATCTGTAACAGAATGCGATCATGAAATCGGTTGAAAATTATCGTTGAAAATTCGGTTGAAAGCTTGTTGATAATAGAAAGGAAAAAAATATTGAGGAATTCTTCTTCAAATGTTGGGTGTGTTCTGTTTTAGAATGATTTACCAATATTCTAGGTCGTTTTTTGCAAATTCCTATGCCTTTTCCTTAGAGAAATTTTGCTTATTTGTTGCTAAAAACGGCGTTCTACTCTACCAATGATTCTGATAGAACTAAATAAAAGCTTAATAAATAGTAGCCTGAAAATACCCTCCCCTCTAGAGGGCGTATTCAAGTGTTGCGATCACGAATTGAGTTCGGTAAAGCCGTTTGAGAAAAGCAATTTTCTCATTGGTTAAGCTTTAAATAGCATTTTAAATTTTATTGGGTACTTGCAACTCAAGAAGAATTGAAGTGATTATGCTCAAACATGTGATTTAAACGTTTAAATGGAAATGGATACCAGCAAGTAACGTCCCGCGAACGTTTCGAACCTGAATAGATACGATTATGTCACTTGCAGGTATCCGACTATAGAGAATTCTTTTTTCTTTTTTTTCAAATATTAAAAAGATAACCTCATGCATGCTTGTTCATAGCTCTATTTGCTGTTAAAAGAAGTTTGCAAAATAAAGAGAGTAAAATTTAGGTATAAGGGTACTACATAGACATACAATAGTAAAATAATAAAATAAAATAAAAATAATAAGTAGAAGCAATACAAGAGGTAACGAAAATGTGCATTACAATATAAATGTGCTTCTCATTTTATGTCAATAAAATAGGCGGAAAGTGTAATAAATAATTAAATTTCTGAAACGTAAGGAATAATATTTATCAAGTAAGAATAATATATTGCAGAGATAGTATGGGAAAAATAAAATAAATTTTTGTCTACAGGTGGCACCACTGAGGTAACTGATTTAAGAGTTTAGGATAAACATTATAGCAGCAACGGTGGGTTAGCCAATTTTGCTGCATAATTGAATCTTCCAGACCTTCTAATTCTAAGCTTCTGAACGACTCAGTCTCCAATTTCATCTCTCTTAATCCATGAGAGCTACAAGCGCGTTTATAAAGCATAACGCTCCAAAACGAATCGTCAGATTACTATAAATATACTATTTCTAAGACTTGGTGCTATCTCTCCTATTGTGCTATCTGTCCTCTTCTATATGACTAAGGTTTATAAGCCTATTTTGAGCACACAAGCCTGAAAATTTATGTAATTGCAATAACCAATAACCAATACCATTTCCAATTGCATCGTTTTTTGAAAGAAATTTAAACTGGTCACTCACATTAGTTTTTATTCCAACTCTGCAAATTCTTTTTGAATCTTGCGAGGACATAGCTTTTGGTCTACTCCCGGTATACTTTTTACAATTGTCTTTCAATTTTAGAATATTGTTGACTACAGTCTTTGATATCTTTTTCGGTATAGACAGGATATGCTGCGATATCCTATGCGATGGGTACTGCTGCGATATTGATGGGATATGTTGCGATATACTATCTATATCGCAAAAATACTCATTCCTGGAGTTACTTCCATCCAACCTCGTTAGATGTTAGAAAAAATAATAAAATAAAAAAGTTATTTATATTAATATTAAAATATTTATTTAAGTAACAAGAAATATGTTTAAAAAAATAATTTTAAGAAATTAACAATTTAATTTTTGTAAAGTTATCGATAATTTTCTCTTTTAATTTAAATTCTATTCCTTCTAATTTCGTTTTTAGCATGCCTTTGACTTAAATATCTCATGAAACTTAAAAAAGACATTAAAATACCAATGAAAACCACTGTAAAAGCTAAAAGTTATTAACCTAGAGAAAGAGATTGTGGAGAAGAGAGCGTCGCCAAGTATGGTAACCATTCCATTATCTTGCTCTTTCGCAACTCAGCTGTTGCGCTGTAACTTTTCAACAAAGAGTTAGATATCAGGAACTCTGCTCATTCCTAAAACTGCAATCCCTTTCGTGATCAAACTTCTTACCTACCGCCATCTTTACAACGAGCACTAAAGCTTCGAAGAAATGTATGGTGTATTTGAAAATAAAAGTGTTTTTAATGCACTAATAATATTAGGGGGAGCGGAAAGTAATGAAGTTTCGATGGATTTGATATTGTTGTCAAGATTTTATTTATAATCAATAATGTATTCACCCTCGTTAGCAACAACCTTTCAATGCCTGATTGGAAATGGATCGGAAAAAATAAAGTGGTTTTTACGACTAACGTTGATATAATGCGCCAAAACGACATTATTTTCCGGTCCCCCTTATAGTAATCTTTCGACATAGTTGCCGTAATATTTAAGATAGTATATGTATATTTATTTTTTAAAACTATTGGTGATTTTTAAGTTTTTAGTCTAATTGAAATGCTAATGACAGTACAATCTATATATTAGAACCCTAATTATTCGACACGTGTCGTTATCCGACTGTCATTCAGTCACATCTAAAGACATTTCTTTTGATTATATTAAATGAAAACTTACCCTAAATCGTGACTGCGAATGATTAGCAACAAATGTTAGTCTTGTGTAAATCTCACATGGCATCAGTACGAATCGTGAAATGGGATTCGCTAATAGATAGAATATAAATCACTTCGTGCAATATATCTCGCTAATACGATGTACTTCTGAAATCACCTGGTAATTGTGATGTGTGATTCGGATAGTGTATGTAATGGAAACGTGATAAACTATTTTTGAATTGCATAGAAACCATAAATGAAAAATAAGAACTTCTCAAACATATCAGAGCCCCCTAGGAATTCTAAAATGAAACATTTAGTTGATGTAGAGTTAACACTATAAAATTTATAATTTAGTGTTCATGCCATATTTTCATTTTCTCTGACTTATTTTCTTTTAATTTATGATTTATTTTACTATGAGCAGAGAATATAAACTTTGTAGGTAGTTTATCGAAAAGTAAATTTGTGGTAATTGGAGCAATAAAGAAAAAAATGAAAACAATGGAAATAAAAATATAGCCACCGAAGCCGACGTCTTCAGGGGTACCAGCTCCGGAAGCCATAGAACAAAACCTTTTATATTGAGAGACAAATGTCAAAATTTGCTCCCTCAGTACCCCGAAGGTTTTGAAAAAGTTCAGGAAGAAATACAAGAAATACATAAAATCAAATCAAAGAGAAATTTCAAACGAAATCTTGAGAATATATAATACAAAAATGAAAATACAAAAACTCACAGTAAACTGGTCAAACAGCAATTTCAGGAAACTAACTCATTGTAAAAGAAACTTTGAAATAAAAGAAAACAACGTTAAAATGCGCAGTAGGAAGAAAAAGAGAAGAATAGGAAAGGTAAAGTTTACGTAACAGATTAATATAATGCTTAACTGGGGCTGCTCAGCAAGACTTCAATTTCGCACTGTTAAAGGAAATAATAAACTAATATTCCTCAATCAATTTCCTAATCAAAAATTTAACATTCAATAATTATAAGGAAAATCATTATTTCTCAAATATCTCAAAAAAGTATTCGCAGCCTCCTGAAAACCTTGAACGTTATTGCAATTATTTTTAACTTCAAACAATTGAGAAAAAACTAAATTTTTGAAAATTTATTGCACAAATTAGTATTAAAGTTACAGAAAAAAATAAGTTTAAATGTAAAAGCCTTTCGTTTATCAAAAACACCAGTTTTAATTATTTTATCAACAATATCAATTTTAAAATCTAAATATTCAACATTTAAGCAATTTTCATTAGTTTTTTTCAAAACCAAATCTTTAAGATAAATACTAAAAATAGAATCATAACTATCACAATTAAACAAAATCGAATCATCAATATATCTAAAAGCATTAAAATCATTTAACTCAAGAAATTTAGCTACAAAAAAAATATAAAGAAATATTAGCAAAAGCACCAGAAAAGGAATTACCTTGTGGAATTCCAATAATTTGTTTATAGAAATCCAGACCATTAAAAAGTACATTCTCAAAAAGATTAAACCTACATAAATCCAACCAATAAGATTTATCAATTTTCTCATTAAATAAATATTTATCTAAAATGCCGCAACGAATTTCAGTAATCTGTGCTTGTGGAATACTGGTGTACAAATTTTCAAAATCAAAAGTATTAATACTAGAAATTACATTATTATTGATATAATCCAACAAAAAATCAACGTTACTTTCTATAACAATATTTTTCTCTCTTTTAATTTTAAGTAAAATAATTTTAAGAAAATTAAAAAACTTTTTACTAATACCAGAATTGTAACAATTAGTACCAGTAGTAGTGAAATATAATTTTTATTAAAAATTTATTATCGTATCTGAAACTTTTCATGAGTGAGCTAAAATACCTGATATTAATGCAGTGAACTTAAACTTTTTCAACAACAAAAAAACCGCAATGTCTCAAGTTAACAGCTTTACTTTAAAGAAAAAAGACATAATACTACCATTTTTGTAACACTTTAGCATCCAAATAGAGTCTGGGTGCTGCCATCTAGTGTGGCAGAAACTAGACGTCCAAATTAACATGGCCAACGGTATCTCACCCATTGTGGTGGTCCTGAAAGAGTGGATACCACTTCTGGAGAACGCACTAGGTCTGCTCATCGGGAAGACTGATTGTGCAGCTCATAGGAAATTAAAAAAAAATACTTTTTTGTAAAGTCAAAAATATTTTTTTTTTCTTTAGAGATTGAAAAACGTATTGAAAAAATTCACAAAAGAGCAAAAATATTTGGCATTAATGCAGTTGACTTAAATTTAAAAAAAAAAAAAAACATCCTTTCTGAAGTCATTAACTTTTCCATATATGAAAAACGTTAAACCATTTTAATTTAAAGTCTGGAATGTAATATTTTATTGAAAACTAACTAAGGTATGTGTTTTGAAAAATTTTCGTGATTGCACTAAAATATTTGGCATTTTATTTAAAACACAGAATCAATAAAGTCAGCAGTTTCACTCTATATGGAAAAAACACTTGACTACTTTAAATTACACTTAATAACGCTTGAAATTTAATTTTTTACGAAAAGTAAGTTTACGAACATGTTTTGAGAAAAAATCCATTGAAAAAAATCATTACAAATTTAAAAAATATAAAAACAGACCAACTCTTCTCACAAATCTCTAATTGGTTGCACTTGTAAAACTCGTATCCACAGCTTATCGGGCAAATTTTTTATTTCCACGTGAAACAAAAAATATTTTAGACAAGCCAATATTCATCAAATCGTGAGAAAAAAAAAATTCATATTGATACCAATTGTACAATCTAGAGGAGTATCAAAATTATGTCGAGATATTTCTGCGCTTGCGCTGATGTCATCTATTTATCTCGCAATGTCCTTAAGCAAATTGTTACACAATTAAGATGTTTTTAACATTTTTGTTTTCTCAGGGCCCAAGTTGAACAAAAAGAAACGTGAATTCAGGATAATTTTCCTGAGGAAGGGAAAGTGTTTTTTACCTGAATCATGAGTAGAGCATTCGCTTTTGTTAAAAGTAGGATAAATGGAAGATCAAACTTTCGGACCTACGGAACCGTTACCTAATATGAATAATAAATGCCAATCGTTATCAGAATATTATTTAGCGTATAAATGATTGCTCGTGTGCGTAAAATATGTCTGTTTTTGCTCGTGTCCCATTGTCGGGTTAAGTAGTTGAAATTAATAATGTATTGCGTTTAAAGACGAATTTCATTTTTATGTTATTTATTAATTTTTTTCTTTTAAAATAACTATTTCTTATTTTTAATCCTTTCAAAAAGTCATTGCAATTACTTTTAGTAATGTTAAGAATAATCACGAAAATAAAAGATGTTAAAAGTTAGTTTTTTTGAAAGTAGGATAAATAGAATATCAAACTTTTGGACCTAAATACCGTTACCTAATGTGAATAATATATGCTGATAGTTATCAGAATATTATTTAACGAAAAATGATTGCTCATCTAAGTAAAATATGTCTGTTTTTGTTCTTGTCCCATTGCCATGGTAAGTAGCTAAAATGAATAATATAATGTGTTCAAAGATGAATTTCAATTTTATGTTTAAATTTTTTATCATTTGAATTAGCTATTTCCTATTTTTAATCCTTTCAAATAGTTATTGTAATTATTTTTGGAAATGTTAAAGTATAGTGTAAAGAATAATCAAGAATAGAAACTTGTGCTTGTTCAGCAGAATGTGCACAAGAAAATCTTGAATAGCTTTCGATCTAATGATGGTATTTTTCTCTGATAAAACAAAACATTTTTGATATGAAGATCATATCCTAAGTCAATCACTGTGGAAGTTCTTTAAAGTTACGCAATTGATTGCAGAAACATAATTTTGCCTAATAAACATTCATTTTTGGACAGATTTTTAGTCTTTAAAATATGAAAAGAGATCAGTCTAGGAAAAAACAATGCCTTTATGTTTTACCAAAAAAGTGTTCGAAATTTCTTTATTACTCAAAGTCAATTTTTTCTTCCTCGACCATATTTTTAAAGCTTTATTCCTATTAATGAAATTTCTTCATTAACTAAACTGTATATTTGGCTGAATAAGTTTTATAATTGTGTGGAAAAAGTACGTGATTCATTCGAAATATTCTAAAGATATTTCGAAATACCAAAAGATTTAAACTAGCATCAAATAGTTATAATTTTCTACCGCTACCCTGACAAAACTATTTTATCATATTTTCCGAATTGCTGCTCCCTTTCCCTATATTATTAAAATATTCAAATCTGTCGGAAGAAATTTTTATTCAGAAGAAGTATGTTTTTGTGTCTTATTTTATAACTTTAAATTTTGCTTGAGCAAATTACTTAGCATATTTGTGGTTACACCCTCAAACTATTATGATTCTACTGCTATAACTATAAATTATTACATATAGAGCTAACCGGAGTTAGGTTTTTGACATGACAAGTCAAAAACCTTTTGAAAAGTGTCAAAAAACATACGGCAAGTTTTTTTTCTGTCATTGTTGATATTTTATTCGAAGTCAAACTACATAATTATTTAAATCATGCACAATACTTTCTTAATAATTACGATAATTTTGAATCATATTTATACATCATGTGTAAAAAATATTCCTAAAATTGTGGAACTGTTAGCTGCTTTTCAAAAAACGTATTACTACATATTCAAGATCAATGTAATTTTATTTGCTATAATGCAACTACTCAATTTATATTAAAGACATAGCTGAATACATAGATAAAATTATTCAATGTTTTTCAATTATTTATTTTTGTTTCTTGACCTTCCCGTTGGCTTTACACTATTAGATTAAGCAAAATACGTACTTAGTAGCGCTTTAACTGTATTCAGTATCATCTGGCATAACCCTGTTGCTCAAGGCATCTCATGATATTTAAAGTAGCTTTCTCTTGTACTTGTATCCTCCAGGGGCCACAAAACTTTTTGCCACAATATCAGTCATAAAAATGCACAGTATTGGTGCAGCTTTAATAGATATCAAATTTACTAATAAAATATGTTGTGTAGTCAGCAAAAAAAAAAGATATCACCCTGAATAACTTTCGTTCTAATAATCAGATTTTCACGAACTAAGTGTCTATCTCAATGGTTCCTGGAGGTGACCTCAATATGCTAATTAATTAGTGCTAACTATTAATTAAGTTATGAAGTCAGACACAAAAACGTACTTTCGCTGAATAAACATATATTTTTGTTTTACATATTTGGAATCCTTATGCTTGAAATAGGGACGGGATAGACAAAAGTTCGAAAATTTGGGTCGTAAATTGGGTTACAATGAAGATTTACATATTTGGCGATAATCCCTGAAAACGGACAAGTTAAGTCACAGCCACAAATGAATATTTTAAGACAACCCATAGACTAATTCAAGAGAGAAATGCGTAGATAATTTTACTCGGTTGCTAAGCAACTAATTTTGGAGTATAAAACAATTGAAATAATGTTCTGTGATTGCTCGGCGAGCTTTAATTAATAATAGTTAATAGAAAGTAACTCGAAGCTTCTAGACAATTGACAATTTTTAAACTGATTTTTGTCTAATAAGCAAAGATTTTTTTTTTATCTCCTTTGAAAAGAAAATTTGAATCGATATATAAATTAATGACTTTCTATGCTTTTAGAATTTGAATACATGAACTTTATATCTGATACTATTTGGGCCTTTTATGTTGTTTTTGCTTCATTAATACCAGGATTTCATACTAAAGTCAAATTTACATAAATTATTATTACTGTATGCAAAATTTTAGGGATAATAATTTTTACAGTTTTAATCGAGTCTTCTGGTCAAGAAGGTTTGAAGAAACAAAAAAAAGGTGCCTGAAAAATGAAATGTAGATTGTATAGTAATTCTAATGCATATTCACAAGATTCTATATAATTTACGATATTTCTTTTTTCTATGGCTGAAGGAATTGCTGAATGTTAAGTGTCATTTTAAAAACATTGAAATTTACTATGGTTAAGAAGAACATATTGAAATAATATGTTGCACATTGTATGATTCATTGTTTAAAAAATCACTTCATTCTGCCAGATGTTTAGGTTACATGGTTTTCTTTGAATGAAGATGATTTGCAAATAGCATCCTGATGCTTCGATACATTCTGAAACTTATTTTCGCATCATGTTCTTCAATTACGATAAGCTACATTCATCACCAAATACCGTTACAATAATTTCTTTTTCTTACATACGTCTAATACGATACTCTTTTTAAACAGAATTCGTAAGGTTCTTAAAATACTGAAATGGGGGCACAAAAACTTAAAAGATAAAATATTTAATTTTTTCAACTCAAAATTTTAAAGTTGAAGATAACTTTTATAGTCACAATATTGATGCTGCGGCCCTCATACGTTTTTAAAAACCGCAGGAATCCTGATAAAATATCAAAATGCATATGTTTACTTTTACCTTACTACCATAAAATCGTTATCAAAATAATGATCAAGAGCCAAATGTAAAACAGTATAATTGATGATAAAAACTTCACTAGCTTCAAAAAATATGAAGAGGGAAATAAAAGTTGACATGTTTCAAGCGTCCAAATATAAGCACCAATCCTCAAGACTCGTCTGGTGTGAATGATGGTAACTTTAATTATCGGACGCTCAAAACATGTCTATTTTAATTAATATCAATTATTTTTTAAATCAATGAAGTTTTTATCTTTTCGATTCAGTTTCTTGAGATTATTCATTTAGTAACACAGTATATTAAATTACTTATCTCGATATTAAAATTAGTTTTATGTAAGATGTTGGCATAGGCTCTTAGATTAAAAAATTAGTAATTAGTCACTACTAGATGAAAACAGTTGAAACTTTACATTTTTCAATAGAAAAATATGCAGATTATTATGGTATAAAAAAAAATCATAGGTCATAATTCAATATTTTTCATCCTCAATTAAATTAAATGATAATGAATAATTATGAAAAATTATTTTTTCATGAAATTTTCTTTGGGTAAATGGATTTTATAAGTGGGTGCAATTTTTTGGAATTGCTTAATTAGTTTTAAAAATACGGCTAAAAACGCGAAAATTGAAATTAACATTAAGGGGTCCGAACTTTGGATCGCTCTCCTGACCAAACTATTGGGACCATATTCCCCAAATTTCGGCTTTGAAGATTAAAAATCCAAATATGTAAAAAAAAAATGCATTTTTATTCAGAGAAGGTCCATTTTTGTGTCTGATTTCGTAACTTAATTAGTAATTAGCACTACATAATTTGCATATTTAAGGTCACCCCCAAGAATCATTAAGATTAACTCTTAGTACGTGAAAATCCGATCATTAAACGAAAGTTATTCTGGGTGATACCTTTTTCTTGCGGAGACTGTACCTATAAGAGAGCCCCTTTGGTACCGATTAAAACCGTCCCAGTTACCTTAATGCAGTTTAAAAAAACTAAGCATGCTTGGTATTAATAATAGTATGGCGTAAGGCGACATTTTTACCGTTCCCTATAACGAATGAGTACATTTTCCCCATAAATTATGCTTTTTGGTACATAGTCTTTTTTAATTTTAATTAGTACCTAATTTCAAAATTAATTAAACATCATTGATGTCAATACTATTTCTTGAGCGAATTAGTATTGGTTTTTATTTATAATTTTGCTTTTAAGTTTATAGATATTAGTAATTATTATCAAAACTAAGTATCATTGGCGTCGATAGTAATTAGCGTTTTTTTACGTTTTTGCGTGAACTAGCATCATTTCTCCTTTAATTGTGCTTTTCAGGGCAAAACTTACTTTTTTTTTACCAATTACCGTTGATTTTAAATTATTTAGTTTAATAGTAACACGTTTTAAAAGCATAACTATAAACAACGAAATAAGTATAACAATGAACACGAGGTTTCCGATAACTTTAGGAGTACTAATTTGGTGACTATGCTACCACAATCAAGTTTATCATTCAGATAATCTGGCTTAACATATCTATACAAGAAGGCCGAATCTTTATATATATATATATATATATATACATACAACCGATTCACGCGCTACATCCTTACATCCCAAAGAAAGAGTTTCTCACAGAATTTAATAGATATTTTATAATAGTGATTTACTAGCTTGTAGCTCTAATCGATCAAAAATTAGTTTTATCGTTTATTTATGCGTACTATTTATCATTAGTTTCCTATCTTAAGTTATTGCGAATATAGCCAAAGTTAATAATTCCGTAAAGTGAATCAAAGACTTCCTTTTTTAAAAAAGTATATGAAACTAAATATTTCTTATAGCGATATTTAAGCTTTTGAAGAGAATATATATTTAAATAACGAAGCATCAACAGGAACTTACCGACTCAACAAAAACATCCGAAAGGAATTGAATTATCATGTAAGGGCAGTTACGAAAAGTTGCCCTTGCATGATAATTAATAATGCAATTCTATTATTAAAAGTCCTAGTAACTCATGCAACATAAAATTGTGAGCTTGCTCTTCAACGATCAGCAGATTATCCCCTATTTACAATGACAATATTTATGTTCACTCATATACAGTGGAATTATGGTCTTGTACTCCGATCTGAGTTAGAAATCCATCATGAAATTCGAATTAATTTGTTAAAAATTAATTTACTAAAAATTAAATAACAAAAGCTATGTCACTTAGTTATTAAGGTAGAACTAACTGACACTCATATAAGTGAAAACTGATATATCATTACTACAACCCCAATAGAGATTCTCCATATACGGCACTATTTTACTGATATACCATGGGCTCTTATCTTGTGCTAAATGATAATTAACTTCTTCATAAGGTATCTAAATAGTCATTATTTAATCTCTTAATATATTTATTTGTAGCTTACGATATTTTCACTGGTCTTTGGAAACAAGTAGGCGATTGTTTTGAAAATGTTCATCACGAAAAGTGTGACATTTCTATAGCTGATGCCTTTAAGCCGAAAACTGCACAAGTAGGGCACAATCCACCAGAAACAAAATTTGTTCTTTTCACGCCAACAAACCCAGATAAAGCTGAGCCATTGCACAAATGTGGCGGTGAATTGCCTAAAGACACTGATTTTGATCCAGACATAGAGACAGTTCTTCTTGCGCATGGTTATATGGATGGAATGTGTAGAACAGCTTGGCAGAGAGTAAGCTTCAAATTCTTTTGTAATTTTTAGATGCTTAATAATGAAGACCACATTGAGGAACAATGAAAAGAGAAAAGAAAAAAAAAATAGTGCGTGGAGTCCCCCGGCGCGGAAGAAGTGAAACTTCGTAATGTGGAAATGAAAATAGGAAGGGGTAGAAATTGATTTTTAGTGAAATCATATTGTTTCTTTAAGACAAACTTTATAAGCAATGCTTACAACTCACAATTGATCGCATCTTTTAATTATCATTTTCGAGTGGAGAAATATCCAAATCTATAACATTTACAATAGGATTATGATAACTAAAGTAAGATACGAAATGTTTGAGTTCTATTTTTTCAATATTTCTTGCAAAAACTGCATCAATGGTAGTTTTCCCTTTGGTTGTTGGATCATTCCTACCATTTATCATTTCCAATCCAAATTTGTCTTNAAGGGCAGTTACGAAAAGTTGCCCTTGCATGATAATTAATAATGCAATTCTATTATTAAAAGTCCTAGTAACTCATGCAACATAAAATTGTGAGCTTGCTCTTCAACGATCAGCAGATTATCCCCTATTTACAATGACAATATTTATGTTCACTCATATACAGTGGAATTATGGTCTTGTACTCCGATCTGAGTTAGAAATCCATCATGAAATTCGAATTAATTTGTTAAAAATTAATTTACTAAAAATTAAATAACAAAAGCTATGTCACTTAGTTATTAAGGTAGAACTAACTGACACTCATATAAGTGAAAACTGATATATCATTACTACAACCCCAATAGAGATTCTCCATATACGGCACTATTCCACTGATATACCATGGGCTCTTATCTTGTGCTAAATGATAATTAAATATTTCATAAGGTATCTAAATAGTCATTATTTAATCTCTTAATATATTTATTTGTAGCTTACGATATTTTCACTGGTCTTTGGAAACAAGTGGGCGATTGTTTTGAAAATGTTCATCATGAAAAATGTGACATTTCTATAGCTGATGCCTATAAGCCGAAAACTGCACAAATAGGGCACAATCCACCAGAAACAAAATTTGTTCTTTTCACGCCAACAAACCCCGATAAAGCTGAGCCATTGCACAAATGTGGTGGTGAATTGCCTAAAGAGACTGATTTTGATCCAGACATAGAGACAGTTCTTCTTACGCATGGTTATATGGATGGGATCTGTAGAACAGCTTGGCAGAGAGTAAGCTCCAAATTCTTTTGTAATTTTTAGATGCTTAATAATGAAGACCACATTGAGAAACAATGAAAAGAGAAAAGAAAAAAAAAGGAAAATAAGCTTCGAGGATTGGAAACCAAATAATAAAATCCGGTGCATACTTTTACAAATCAATTTTCTGATCAGCCTATAAGGGATATGAATAAAAAATGTCTTCAAAATAACGCCACAAACGTTAAATCCTCGAAAACTTCTACACTCGCAAAGTCATTCTCACCCAATCTTATTTCCTGCTCAGAATTAAACTGTTAGTGTCGTATACTTCAATATTTCTGTTGAAGTTGGGGAATATATTTCACCAAAACGCGTCATTAAAAAAATAGTGTCTACATTATCCATATAATTATTATTTCAACACTATACACACTAGTTATTTCAATATTGCAAAAAATAAATTTTTGAAGCTAAATATGAAAAATTTATATTTATCGTTAATTCAGAATACAAACCCTCAAATGTCACATAAGATTTCCAAGCAGTGTTTTTCAAATAAAATATTTTATGTTGGATAATATTAGTTCAAAAAACCTAATGCACGAAAAAAATTGATCATAATGTTATTTTAGCATTTTTTTTCGTCTAATTTTGAATACTTTACTCGCCATAAGAATAAACATAGCTATTATTGTTGCTATTCTAACAATACTGATTTCAAAGTAATTTTTTGCACATGCATAAATACTTATTCATACACTTATTTAATTCATCAGAATTAAATAAAACAAAGCTAAGCGTTTCAGATGGAGCGTCCCTCTTGTTCTGTAGCAACTGAGAGAGAGGCAATTATAGAGATTGGGTCCAATTAAGGGTTATTTCTCTCTTTCAAGACATGGGTAGTTGTTAGGTTTTTGGCATGAACCTTTACCTTTAAGAAAATAAAAGTACAGAGATTACTGGATCGTTAATCGTGAACAATCTGAACAACCAAAAAAAATTTTTTTATTTCCAATGAGCTGCACAAGTGCGCACACATGAGCAGACCTAGTGCGTTCTCCAGAAGTGGTATCCACTCTTTCAGGACCACCACAATGGGTGAGATACCGTTGGCCATGTTAATTTGGACGTCTAGTTTCTGCCACACTAGATGCCAGCACCGAGACTCTTATTTGGATGCTAAAGTGTACTAGGAATTTAATTTTGCCGGAAATGCCAAGAGCCAATAAGGTACTCCAGGGATCTTTTACATGCCGCATAATCATGCGACATGGCCTCCGAGGATTTTCTGCATCCCGAAAATCAGGTGTCTGGGCCGAGGATCGAACCCGCAGACTTGGGCTCAGAAGGCCGACGACAAACCAACTGCGCCACCCAGCCCCCACAACCAGAATGAAACCCTCCAAACTTGCTTCCCACCCCTACGATTAGGCTTACTTAGCTATTACGTTTAAAAAATGTCTATGAGCACAAAACTGTAATCAGTTATTTTTATATTTCCAAATCGTTTTAATTATAAATGCAACCGGTTTAAAGGTAACATTTAATCAGGATTTCAATCATTTGCACTATTAATAGACAGTTTAGTTAACCTTTATTTAATGTAAGAAATAAATTTTGCTTACTTTTTTAGCAAAGTAGCAACGGATAAGTCACTGAAGTAGGTAGCTAGTCGAAAGCAGTACCGGGCACTAAATAATTCCAAACAAGAGAAGTGGACGGTAGAATATTGAATAAAACAAAAAAACCAGCCGATACTAAAGAAGAAAAGACGAGGATGAAATAAATAATCCATCAAAACAAAGAAGGGCAACTTACAGGCTGTCCCAAATTTCACATAACATAGGTTTTTAGTTTAAAAAATGAAGATTTGTTTTATTGATTTTTTAAAGTATAACGTACAAGGTTATGCATTGAATAACATAGCTGGTAAATTACTTCTGTTGGTATTGCTGGCACACAGTCTTTGTCAAAATTATCTGTGTCCTTCTTTAAGAATTGTGGCTACCTTTCTTCAATATATGGCTTATTTCTTTCTTTTAAGACATAGGTAATTGTTAGGTTCAATTTCAATTAACTTGCACTTACATGCGGTTTTTTCTTTTTTTTCCTTGGCAAAATTTCATTATACAACTGGCTCATAATTCTAAACACTTGTGATTTTGGGATAACTTTTTTAAAGAGGAGAATTAAAGAAAAGTGCAGGAAACGGGAGGACAGAGAAAAATATCAATTACCTAAACACGTTCTTCTATGCAATGAATAATAATTTAAAAACCAATTACGTTAATGAGCGTGTTCTATCTACCAATAAGTATTGGGACACGTGTGATTGAAAAGAAAAGCAAACTTTATTCATAATCAATAGTTGGTAGAGCCTCCACGAGAGGCAATTACAGCGTGAACCCTCCGGGGTATACTTTCCACAAGTCCTTGTGAGACGGCTAGTGGTATTTTCTTCCACATGGCTTGGAGAAGACATGTAAGTTCCTTAACCGATTTTGGACGGGTAGTACACCCCTTAATTCGGCGATACAACTCGTCCCAGAGATTCTCAATACGGTTCAGATCTGGGCTCTGGGCAGGTCAGTCCATTCGATTAACCCTATTGGCACCATACCAAGCCTTGGCAACATGACAACTAGCACTGTCATCCTGGAAGTAACAGGGGTCCTCCCAGTAAAACTGCCACAACGTAGGAAGCACATTGTCATCCAAAATAGTGCAGTAGGCATCTTGCATGGGACTAATGCCGATGTTGTTCCCTACACGATATATACCGGAGGAGGATGTGACGTATCTCAGAACTGCAGATATAGTCATTTGCATAGATGTCCAAATACTTATAGTTAGATATTTATGGATAATATAGTAGACAAATTAAATGATCCGACTATTTATAGCCTCTATTTTACAATAACCAAGCTAGTTAGAAAAGTCAGTGGCATTTTCAAATCTACCTGGCAGTTCTAGCCTATTTCAGTGAGAACATATACCTCTAGGAGGTAATCTAGGTAAGAAATTTATCAATTTATAACACAATTAGCTTGTATTATTTTTCGCATTTTTCAATAAGCCCAGAGTACACTGTTAAAAATTTATCGGAAAAAATTGTTAAATAAAAATTTATTTAATTGTTTTCTTACCATATCCAAACGAAGCAACCAAATGATCATAAATTAGACGGTAATGAAGCTCTTAACTGTAAGAAAAACCGTTTATTAACTGGCTTCACCAAATATGGTTAGACAGCAAGACTTTTATCGCCTCAACTAAGCCAACCTATTGAAACCACTTAGTTCCTTGCAACGGCTTACATATTATAGCCGCGAGGGCTAATGTGTCATTTTCTTGAATAACAGAATTGGGGTACGAGTGCCAACGTTGACACCACAATAATTCCTGCTTTCCCTTCAAGACATGAAGAATTTTGGATATCTTTCACTTTATAATGCTCATTGCCTAGCAAAATGCCTAACTCTTATGTCCAGTTAAATTTCTTTTTATGGTTTTGAAACCATACTATTTGTAAATGGTTAAAAACCATATAGTTTTGTAAACATGGCCTTACAGCCATACCAGTAGTAAATGGTTGCAAAACTGCAAAAGTAAAAAATGTTATTTACCGTAAACTTAATGGCTGAACAGACTGCTGCCGGCTATTTTCCTATAATTTCAGAATGAAAATTCCAACAGTGTAGTGAAAGTCTATAGTAAATAGTCTTTTAAAGATCTTTTGCATTATGTCTAAGCAAATTCAGCCTGATGAATAATTCTTCTTAAATTTCTTACATAGATACAGACATATAGGGTGACTATAATTATCCTAAAATAATATTAGACAAAATAGGAAATGCTGAATACATTTCAACTTAGTCTGCAGCATTTAAAAATGACGGCGATTTCAAAATGCCATTTCAACTTATAAAACAAACATACAGAATCTCAATTAAAACATGCAAGGCTTATTAGTTTGGAGCAAACAATATTTCCCATCACGTGATTTAGTAATGTTATGTGTCTTTACTTGTATTTCATTTTAAGATCAATTCTCAATGTGAAATAGATTAATACGAATCTCTTTTTTCCATATTTTTTTTCTAACTTTAGCTTTTCTTTTGTGTATTTGATGGAAACGTAGCATTTTATTAATAACTGTAACTTTCTGTATTTGCATTCATAGCCATTGCTCAATGTTTTCAGAAAGTTTGTTTTTTTATCTTTCATATTTATGTAGTGAAATTAAAATAGAATTTCTCTTTTAGGAAATAAAAACGCAACTTTTTATAAGAGGTGACTACAACGTTATTCTCGTCGACTGGACATGGGGCAACACACCAGATCCAGGAGGAGCTGCTCAGAACTCTCTCGTCGTTGGAGAACAAGCAGCTTTTGTTATTCAAAGTATCATGGTGCGTTACTATTAAAGAAAAAATCAAGTAAAACATTGAGGTTATGAAAATAAATTAAATCAGTAGGCTCCGTCAGCTTTTCGCTGACGCTCCCTAACCCCTGAAAATTGCTGTGCAATCTTATAAGGTTTGCTTTGCAACCTCGGTTGGAACCTTTTTGAAATGTGTTCTAACGTAACCCACTTGAAACGGGTTATATCTTAAAATCTTAGGAAATTAAATCAATTATTAAATGTCTTAACTAATTTCTGGGTGGATCCTAGAATAGCTTTACCCCGTGAGGATTTTTTTTTAATTCTCACCAAGCAAGTTTTTAAAATCTTGCCAAACTAGGTTTCCGGAAGATATTTCGGAGAGATTATTTTGAACGTCCGATCACGGCCACTAAAATTCTTAAACCTGATTGGTTGTTTAATATGTATACCTACGAGAAGGTTCGATTTCGTTAGAAAAGAGGTAAAAGGGTTTATTTTTTCGTCTTCTAGGATGTGTGCTCTACCTGATATATACATATGATTTTGCCATTGAAGAAGATAATATATCTAATTAGATGATATCTAATATTATCTTATTAGATATTATATTATCTTCTTCAATGGGAAATTACATTATAATTTCTCATTGAAGAAGATAATATCTAATAACATTCTACGCTGACGACACTGCTCTAGCGACCAGGTCCATGAATCCCAATCATGTTGTTAACAAATTAAATGAATACATACCCGCCATAGAGGACTGGTGCACCAAAAATAAAATCTCCATCAACGCCGACAAGTCTCAACTGTTAGTAATCAGACGGAAGAAAAGAAACAAGCCTATCACAAATAATGTTACCTTGTTTAACAATGATATCCCCATTGTTACTAAAGTCGATTACCTAGGCCTCACCCTGAATGATAAATTAAACTAAAACAACCAAATCGGTAAAATAAGCAAAATAAACTGGCTGCCTTCTCCAGTTTAAGACCTATCCTAAGCTATAACTCAAGAATACCACTAAATCTTAAACGCCTATTATATATTACCTGCATAAGGCCGATAATCACTTACGCAAGCCCTGCTTGGTACTGTCTCAGTAATACTCAAAAAAGATCGATGCTATTCAAAACGAAATAGTCAAAAGAATGACTGTAGCTCCTCTCTATAATAGCAATAGCTCTATATTAGCAATAAGAATGACAATAGTTTAGGGCTTCTAAGAGAACTAAAATTAGATACTGTTCACGAATTTATTAGTCAACTTAGAGCAAGATTCATCGGCAGCGCCATGAATTCCAATACTGCTGATTTTAATAACATCATCGATAAGGAACTAATTCCAGATGCAAGAAACCATAACCCAATCATTAACTTCCTTCTCTCTGATGCTATTCTATCAAATAAATTTAATAAGAGAAATAGATAGCCTCCCCCTTTTTATTCTTGTACATGGATGCTCCCGAGGCGAGGAAAGGAACAAAGGTGATTCTTGCCTTGGGAGTGTACCACTCCTAGACTTATACCTAATTGTGCCCCACAAGATAGATCAACTTCATAGTTAATTTTATATTATCAGTTATCTTGATATTTTCATATATTTTTAAACAGCCTTCATATCTTAATTACTACATATCATTATATTTTTATCTTAACCTTCTGTTCTGACTGTACCCACAGAGACTACCCAGCCAACCCTATATCTGTTTCACTCATTTTTTCAACATTTATGCTTCTGATCTCTTGTTTTTAAAATCATCGTTATTATAACGATGATTGATTAACCCTTTTAAGCGATATTTCATTTATTACAGTTATAATTTTATTTTTTGCGCAGTACCAGTTAAAATGTCGAGCAAATGGAGTAATGATTTTTTAAGTACCGTCATTCGGGGCTACTTTGTGCAGCGGGGGCTACTTTGTGCAAATTCGAATTTGGCATTTTTCAAGTGCTGCTATTCAGTATTATGTTTATTTCACGTTAAAAATGTGTGGAATTTGAAGATAGAAGTCTCTTCTATTACTACAAACATTTTTTCGAATTTTAAAACAATCTCAGAGTGTGTTTCGTTCATCCAATGCCAACAACTTTCCGAGGACGTCGGATGTCGAAAAGTGTGCGTGGAAACTTTAGCTGTGAAATGCAAAGACGTTGATAAAAAAATTGTCGTAAGTGCAAAATTTTTTATTTATATATTAATAAACAATTATATCATGTTAGCGTTAAAAAAATTTGAAAATTAATAACAAATAAACGGAAAATGAAAAAAAATGCACTTTGGGGCTACTTTGTGCAAAGTTTCATTCGTTTTTTTTTTCGACAGAAAAATGGTCAGACGTTATAAAAAAATACCTGGAACGAGAAACTACCGTGATTACACTTTAGAAAAGCTGCAACAATGTTTGCAAGCAGTTGCTGGTGGTATGTCGATTGCAGAAGCTTCTCGGAAGTACAAAATCCACAGAAATACTATCTCTAATAAAATTCACAAGAAACACGTGAAACTTCCTGGTAAACTATTATTTTTCTTCTACAAAGATTTTTCTAATGAATTAATCAAACGATTTAACACATAAAAATATATTTTATAGGACATCAGGTGATTTTGACAGAAACTGAAGAGCAAGTTCTGTCATGTTCATTCAAGCATGTTATGTTCAAATTTATCAATATTATAAATGTTAATGAATATGTAATAATTATTATTTTTGAAATTTCATCCATTTCAATGTTCAAAAATGTAAATGTTTTCCTTTTGTTTAAACCAAATGTTTTGAAATAAGCAGTCTTTTTGAGAAAAAATTCTTTAAAAAAAATGGTTTTTTAACGCTGAAAATTATTTTCAAACTAATATCTTTACATATCTTGATGTTTTTGTCTTTAAAAATGTCAACAATTAACTTTTTTAACAATTTTATATCAATATTTTACTAAAAACATGATTATTAAACTGAATTCCTATCGCTGCACAAAGTAGCCCCATTTGGGGGCTACTTTGTGCAAGGTATGTTTTGACTTATTATTCGTAAATATTACATACAAATAATGCCAATATTGATCAAATTCACTCGTCTGAGTCCAGTTATGAATATAATATCGATAAATTTTACTAAAGTTTGAATTAACATAGTTTTTTTACATGTCAAAGTTCAAAAACTGCGAAATCCTGCACAAAGTAGCCCCGAATGACGGTAATCAAAAAGCAACGTTGATCCTAGTGATAATCACCAACCTGGAGAGATTTCAAAAAGTCGCTAAGAGATGGGCTATTTTAAGATTTTACCCTTATTTCTCTTTAAAAATGTTAAAATTTTTAGTCAGTGATAAGTCATTGAAAGAAAAGAAATTGGGGATATTTCTGTACCGTGATCTGTCACGCCAGCTACAGTCGCAAAGGTGCCAAATACATTTTAAACAGGCATTTATTTTTTAAGTTTTCGTTTAGTTCCATCAGAATAATTGGCAGAGTCAGACACCATTTTCTAAGCAGCAAATGAGAAGCAAAATTTCCCTAAGAAAAAGGCCGGAGAACTAGAAAAAACTCTCCAGAACTTTCAGAAACAGAACATGTCAAACATTTGAATAAAAATTCATCAATAATTTTTAACTTCGCTTATCAACCAATTTGAAACTGATAACTTCCGAATTTGGGATCGCATACTGGGACCTAATTTGGGATCGCATACGGTAAAATACATTTTTTCTGTCCTCAATTCATTACAAATTAAAGTGAAGTCAACATTGCCTTCTTCATTCTAATGACTAAATGTGAATTCAGAACGTACAGAACTGTAATAGTTATAGAATATTCTTCTTTATAGAATAGTATGTATTTCTGTATCTATATAATTCGGTAAACAACAATAAAGAATCATCGAATTACTTGAAATAGTATCATTTGTGCCGATTATTAATAATTTTTATCGTTTTCTTGGTGAGTATTTTTTTAATTTTGACTGATAAATTTCAACTAGAATTCTGCTATTCTGTTTATAAGTTACATATTAAAGATCATATCGAGATCTTACAATTATAAAATTTTGCTCTGTGGTATGTTATCTAAAAGTAATTAAGGGATAATCTATTTATATATTATTTAAAAATAAAATTTTCAAAAGAAGAACATTTCCTTTGGAATTCTCTGGATTTATAAAGCTGGTGAGTGATAGTTCTCTACAGAATGGTCTTTACGTCTGATTAAGAACTATAAGAGCAAAAAAAAAGAATCAATATGAAAGTTTTTTATTTCAATATAAGGAATTTTTAAAATCGTTTTTTTTTTATTCTAAGAATTTTTTATTTTACGTTTTTTAGTTTATAATTTTTTGATAAAAAATGTTGTCAAAATACTTTTTTTGAAAAATTAAAAGGTATAACATTATGTGTTAATGTATACTTCTTGCATATTTTAATGTTTGAAGTAATATGATTCAGAAAAGTATGGAATAAAAATTCGGTACTCTTGTATCAACTCCACCGCAGCTGCAGATTTGGCGGTTTTTAAGTACCGCCAATCTACACATAAAAATTTTGCGACAAATCATAAAATAAAACACTTTATTTAAAATCAAAGTAGTCAATCGGATTTCGGTGGAAAATTGGCTGATATAGAGTTTAACACAGATTCAAAACAATCTCTATTTTCTTTCACCATTTGAACTCAAATAAATAAGATTCCAAATGAAATAACATTTCCAAAACGTACGTTTACCAAGATGTTTCATGTCATGGAAATTGGTACATTTTCATTTTTTTGGTAAAATATTTCGCTCCTGAAAAAAATAAAATTACATCGTTTTCTGCTTTTGGCAAATCCCAAAGACGCTTTTTCGTAGCACTAAAAAATGGCACCAAAAATCAGCAAACAACAAGGCAACAAGGAATCCAAAATATAACTGTGTGCGAATAACAGGATTCCTCTTTATTAGCTTCTGCTGCGGTGGCGTTAGTGCGTAAGTACCAAAAATTCAACAAGAATTCAGCTATTCTGTTTTTAAGTTACATATTGAAATTTATATCGAGATCTTGCAATTATGAAATTTTATTGTGTGGTATGTCATCTTAAAGTAATGAAGGGATAATCTATTATATATAATTCTCTTACGTGGCTCCCAAATTTTGGCTGTATTTCTTTTCCGCCGGTGGCATCGTTTGCTTTGTTTTGAAAACACCAAAGCATTCTGCCTTTTAATGATGTGTTTCTGATCTAATATATATAATTCTCCTACGTGGCTCCCAAATTTTGGCTGAAGTACTTTGTACAACTAAATAAGATTCTTTTCACAACAGTTAAATATTTACTTTATTTTCTTCATTCATAGAGAAAACAGTCGGCAAAGAATTCTGTTAGGTTAAAAAACATTTCGCTAAAAAAATAACGAATTCTAAAAGAAATAAAAATAAACAACTTAAAAAATAAAAATGCTGTTGCCAGCCATAGAATTTTTTGAAAGTTAACTTAGCAACATAAATCAAAATGACATAGAAGCGCAACTAGATCAAAATTATGATACCTGAGCGCTTGACGTAACAAATCCTTCAATTCTAAAAGTGTTGTATCGCCAAATGCCCAAATTAACAATTGTGTTCTTAAAGAAATTCTATAAAAAGTTTTAAATAAACAACCTACTTCTACAACTGCTTCTTGAAGAACTTGGCTCATTGATTAAAAATATTGTTTTAATTTTACAGTACTAACTTTACTTCTACTTTCATTATTGCTATGACCCTCTTTCATTACATTTTACAACTTCATGCTAAATTTGAGGACTTTAAGTTGTTTTGTGGTTGAATACTGACATTTAGAAATGTGTACATAAAAAAAAAAATATTTAGAGGTTAAGAGTTGCCTCAGAAAAATTTGAATTGTTGACATTGAACTTAACAATGGAAACAATCGTTTTTGTGAAAAATTGAATTGTATTGTTGACATCAAAACTAAAAATATTGTGTTTCAACTTAACAATACTACCTTAATTTATACTTTAGAATTGCCTCGGAGAAATTTGAATTGTTAGCAATGACTTAAACAAAAAGTTTTATTTTAACTGACAAATACTATAGTATAATTTTAACTTTTTCTATGACTACACTCATTTTCTTACTCTTTTCTTTCTTTTTTATACATTTTATTTTTTTGTGATAAAATAAAAAACTTATAGTTGTTCTGCTTCTGAACACTGATGAAAACACAGAATGATGGGCTTCATCAACAATCAAAAATATATACATTTATTTTGCAAATTCCATATTATTAAGGTGGCGCCCTTCAGAGAATTAAAAATACAAAATTATCTTCATCAAAGCCGATGCTTTACATCCGGCGTTCAGTGGCAGACTACTATTTCATATTGTTTTACAACACATGGCTTTAGCCCTCTGGTGGGAAAGACTTTAAAACAAAACTTACAACAGTTACTTTTCTCAACAACTGAAATTTAGAATAGTGTGATTAAGAAAAATATGTGAACTGTTTGCAATTTCAAATTAATATTGAAATGTACAGGTTTAGAATTTTCTACAGTGAAAAGTTTTCGGAACTTCAGTATTCAAAAAAGTATACAAAAACTAGACACTAAGAACGTATCCAATGAGCGAGCAAAGCGAGCATTGGATTGCGAAGCAATCCGAAATGAACTGTGAAAGCAGTTCCGGGGGTTGGTGAGCGCCAGCGAGCAGGGGACGAAGCCTCCTAGTCTGTGTATATATTATTTGAGAATAAAGTTTTCAAATGAGGAACATATCATTTTGGAATTCTCCGGATTTATAAAGCAGGTAAGTGTTATAATTTATAAAATAAAAAATTTTACTTGCAAATAATTTTTTTTCGTATTTGATGATAATTTTCTACAGAATGATTTTCTCAGTCCGATTATGAATTTTTAAAAAAGCATGAAAGTTTTTTATTTTAATGTGATGAATTTTCAGAATTATTTTTTTTGCTTCTTAAGCATTCTTTATTTTACTTTTTATAGTTTCTAAATAATGATTTTTATTGAAACTTAAAATTTTTTGATAAAAAATTTTGTCAAAAAACTTTTTTTGCAAAATTAAAATATATAAAATTATGAGGCATGTGTATACATTTTGTTTATTTTAATGTTTGAAGTAATATGATTATTAAAACTATGGAATGTAAAGTTTAAAAGAGCCTTTCATGTTACATCATTAAATTTAGTAGAACTATATATTAGGTTTTAACTCTAATAAGAAGATACATATTTTTTCTGTTTATTTACAAATATTTTTCCGACGTGTTTTGGATGTTCCTTCTCTAAAAAAAGAGATACCATCTTGTTTTCGTTTGCATAGGAAAGAATATCAAACATTTTTCTTTTTTAAATTTAATAAGTCACAATAAAGAAGGAACGTTATAATGCCACACGCTACATTAAAGACGTCGCCAGAGTAACTGAATGACTGTTCATATAGAAATCGCAGGTATTCGTCTCATACAACTACGCCCCCTATAGTTCGTTGCGATCGCGAATTATGTAAAAAAATTTATTAGACAACCTGAAAATATTGAGATGGCTTATAAGGCAACAAGCTTGCTCTCGATAAAGGTAGTGGAAGTTTAAATTGGGTATAATATAGCCTACGTCACAGGTTGTGTTGGCACAGATTCAGTGTGCGCCTTTTAACCACGTTTCAGTTTTTCACGTTTCAGTTCACGTTTGCTCGAGAAACAATCAGGTAATAATTTGGTATAAGAGGCGAATCCTGAAAGTAAGTTTCCCTAATTTATGAAAAAAAGCAGAACTCACACTTTCAGGAACATATTTATTGGCAACAAGTACGCCAATGTTTAAGCTATTTTTCAACATAGCCACCACCAGAATTGAGACACTTGTCGTATCGTGGGATCAACTTTTGTATCCCTCTGTCATAAAACTCTACCGCCTGTGAATGGAACCAGCGTGTGACAGACGTCTACCGTTACCGTGACCGTTACTGCGAAACACTGCGGAAATTGTGACTTGCCATTCAAAACAAGAGTCGTGGAATATTTACTGCAGGTGTTGCGCTCCTCCATGACAATGCTTGTCCACATGCGACATGACGCACAGCAGCTTTTTTGACGGAATTTCGCTGGGAATTGTTTGATCATCCACCCTACAGACCTGATATTGCTCCCAGTGATTGTCACGTTTTCTTGCACCTCAAGAAATTCCTGTCCTCCTGTGAGCGTTTTGACAACGAAGAAGAACTGAAGACGTCTGTCACATGTTGGTTCCATTCACAGGCGGCAGAGTTCTACGACAGAGGGATACAAAAGTTGATTCCACGATACGACAAGTGTCTTAATTCTGGTGGTGGCAATATTGAAAAATAGCTGAAATATTGTTGTGCTTGTTGCCAATAAATATGTTCCTGAAAGTGCGAGTTCGTTTTTTTTTATAAATTAGGGAAACTTACTTTCTGGATGCGCCTCGTATTTCAAAAATTTCTTACTTTGAGCTCGACATGGAAGTAATGGGTAAATAAATCAACCAACCAAACTATTATGGTAAGCGGGATGTAGTTCAAAATATTTAAAAGAAAATGAACTTAATGAAATGAAATAGATCAAATGTATCACAAAAAAATAATTATTGTAAGGAAATGGTGTACTTTTAGATCCGTCCTTAAGAACAGACCATTGTTATATTGTTGTATGTTATTATATAATTATTGTTGTTATATCTTTCTTTGATTTAATAGTAAAGCGACGTTACCATATCGTAAAAATATTGAACCAAAAAAAAATTCGCCTCAACCAAAAATATTGTTGAGTTCATCAAAATTGCGTTAGTCTAAAGCAATAAGAAGTTACAATAACGAGCAAAGTTGCACAATGTTGCGATTCAAAACCCATCAAAAATAGCCATGTTTAATCCAATTCTTTTCTTTTTCTTGAAGTTGCTTGTTGAAAAAAATCTTTCTTTATCTAGAATCGTACTGGTATAAAGGGAAACAAGTTTCATCTCATCGGTCACAGCTACGGCGCTTATTTAGTGGGCATGGCAGCAAAATTTATCAAGGATCAAAATGAAGAAAATATGATTCGAAGGTTGACTTGTAAGTTAATATTGATAAATCAATATGAAGAAAATATAGTTCGAATGTTGACTTGTAAATATTTATAGATCAGCATGAAGAAAATATAATTCGAAGGTTAACTTGCTGTTATTGTTGTAGTTAAGTAACGTCTCATTAGAGCTGCACAATGGGCTATTGGTGACGGTCTGGGAAACATCCCTGAGGATGATCCGAAGACATGCCATCACAATTTTGATCTTCTGCAGAGGAGATGGCACCCACGCTTCGGTAGCCCGACGACCTGCATGCGAAGTCGAGCACTTTACAGTAGAACAGTTTAACGAGGACCAATACAGCACACCCTCGATCCCTACGCAGACTAATCCAAGTGATCACCCACCCACGCACTGACCGCAACCAGTGATGCTTGACTTCGGTGATCTGCTGAGAACTGTGTCTTAACGATCAGTCCACTGCGGGACGGTTAACTTGCAAGTAAATATTTAAAAAACAAACACGTCGTGTCAAGTAAACATGATAGTAAAGTAGAAATTACCGAAAATAATATTACACCATAGAACCATACATCTTTCTCACATTTATGATTTCAAAAAAATTCTCACTAAATATAAATTAATTTCGAATTCAAGGTATTTATATTTTAATGCTTGGTAAATTATGGTAAGCTATTTATAGTAGCTATAGCTTATTTTATATTTCATTTAAATTAAAATAATGCACGGTGACAGGAAATAACTCGAACTCACGTGCAATTATTTTATAGCAAACTAAAATGTAAAGGTAAAACTTTCAAATAAACATGAAAACATCATTTCTTATAATATCAAGTCCCGCAGTGGACTTATCGTTAAGACACGGTTCCCAGAAGATCACCGAAGTCAAGCATCAGTGTTCGAGTGGGTACCGAGGGTGTGTGGTATTGGTTCTCGTTTAACTGTTCTACAGTAAAGAGCTCGACTTCGCGTGCAAGTCGTCCGGCTACAGAAGCGGGGGTGACATCCCCTCTGCAGAGGATCAAAAATGTGATGGTATGTCTTCGGATCATCCTCAGGAATGTTTCCCTGACTATCTCCAATAGTCCATTGTGCAGCTCTAGTGCAACGTAAATGAACTAGTACTACTACTTATAATGTTGCACGCTTTCAAAGAATGACTCATTTTCAAAGAAACCACACACCTTTATACGGAACTGTAAATGCCTTGTAGAGTTTTTCTTCCATTAACCGCAACCCTCTTACTGATATTTTGATCCATTCTGTACACAAAGACTTTTAGAAGACCCGATTCTCATGAGGTTTAGTACAAACCTTTATCACCAAGGTGAACCGAACTGATATATACATTGAATTAAAGTCTTTAATAGGATGGCTGTTCGTGCTCAGTAAAAAAATCAGGAAAATTGTGCCTTGCATCGTTCTTGAAGGCTTATAGCTCTTTGTGCTGGAGTAGATTCCTGCTGAAAAATAAATGTTTGGTTTCTAAAGAAGCTTTGTGACTAAAAAAACCTAACATCATCAAAAATAAGAGGTTGATAAAATATTAAAACTTAGTTCTAGTTCTTTCTTGTCGCCCTGCATAACACATCCAGTGATTGGTCAGAAAATCATCTCGATTTCTCTCATAAAAGCAATCTGTAAGCTTTAGGAATAATGAAATAATGTCCTAACATAAATAATTTAAGGATGAAAAATATTTAACTAAGCTTTTCATTTTTTCTTTCTTGTTAGTTAAATAAAAAAAATTTCTTGTGCTTGAAATTATAAAATCTTAAAAAACAAAAATATTTTTTTTATTTATTTCACTATTCATTTATTATTAATTTCATTTGTTTTAAGGTGTCTTCAAATACTTTTTCACCACAAGAAATAACGCTCAGCTAATAATATGTTGCTTTTAAAACTATAAGAAATTCCTCCCAGTTATCCATAACTATTAGGTTAAATTTTGTTCATCTTTCTGCTGTTTAGGGAAATGACACAAAATCTTCAATGTAAAGAAAAACCTTCGTTTCTTTAAAAAAAAAAAATAACGCTAAAGGTTTATTTTTCATACGCTCATGTCCAAAAAATAAGAGAAAAACGCATTCTTGCAGGTAATTCAAAAATATAGTAAACCAAATAAATTGAAGTTTTACAAGATAATACATCAGAGTGTAGCAAAAAGAGTCTCAGTCCTATGCCTTAGAAAAGTCAAAAAGTCTTCCCTTACTAATAAGTTTTTCCTGGAAAGATCCAAACAGTTCAGGATTGATATTTTGATTAGACTGCGAAGATCATATTGCCTACCTTACAGATCATTCGTTACAAGTTAGAATATTTAAACATAGTCGTCCGTGCATTCGGCGTGGTTACCATTGTACATAATAACTTTGAAAGGAGACGAAGCTGGTCACCAAAGTCAGTAAGTAGATAATAAAATACATCGATGTAATAAGCATTTAAAAAATCTTATATTGTTATGGTGTTCTTGTATTCTTTAATGCACTATTTAATGGGTAAATTAGAGAACTTTATCAACTCTTTTGATTTACAATAGAACGGACAAAAGTTTTATTAACATAATACAGTTGGATTATTTTATGTAATTTTATCTAAACACCACGAAGTATTCATTTATAATGATCTGGATATTCTATTGCCTTGGTTATTATCTCCTTTTGTTCAATGTTGTTTTTCTTAGTCGGTGCTTGCTAAGTTTTTTTGGGGTTTTTTTTTTTTTTTTACTTTTTTTCTCTTTTGGCTTCAGTTCTAGATCCAGCAGTAGCTCCTGTCTCCAATGAAGACATTATTAATGGAAAACTATCACATGAAAATGCCAAATTTGTGGACGTCATTCACAGCAATGGAGGAGAATGTTTCCGTGAGTACTAACACTTTCTAGCAGGTCCCTCCCGGCTACTTAACTGAAAGTCATCCTGTTTTTAAATCTATT